CTTGAACCTGCTTGTTTGCTTTCAACACAATTTTGACCTTGATGGCACATTGCTGATCAGAATTCTTAAGCTAATTTCGTCTTGTGTGAATTAATCACTAAGGCTTTGAACTCTGCCGGTTCCCCATCTAAAAAAAAACAAAACAGAAGGCCTGTTTCACCTTATTTACTTATTGTCTTTATGAATTTTACTTTTTCTAAAGAAAGAAAAGCTATAAATCATAAGAAAGGGCTTCTCAAGAGATAATTATTATAAGCTGCTCCTGTATTACCATCTCTGCTATGCTTTCCCATAGCTGCAGCTGATTAGAATGCAGTAGTACCATCAATTACGGTTTTATTTCATCAGGGCCATGTAGCCCCTTTGCCCTATGGCAGCGTTTCTCAACCTTGGCAACTTTAAGATGTCTGGATTTCAGCTCCCAGAATCCCCCAGCCAGCAAACATTTTTGTGACAACTAAAACCTGGATGACTGAGAATCTCCATAGACAATCAGACTTCAGATGTCTTCATCTGTTGCTTTTTTTTTTTTTTTTGACCATCTGACTCTAAGCTAGCCAGTCTCTTTATTCCCCCTCTTCTACACTAGCTGGAGATTTCACCACAGTTATCCAAAGAAGCCCCTGTTTTTCATGGCTTCTGCAGAGTTGGCGTGCTCTTTTTCAATTAAATTGTACATCTAGTGGTACCCCAGGAAGCGTGCTTTTTCTGTTGCCCTCTGCAACACCATCTTCCCTGAGATCTTACCACTATCCATGCTCAAAACAGTTCTGAAAATCTGGCTGATTCTCCAGCCCTTGGGTTTAGGATGAGTGGCAGGTCTTGCATTCCTTATTGCATTTCTCCTGGCAATTGGGTTTTATTTGTTAGTTTTAATTGTACTGTACAATGATTTCAACTGGATACTGCCCAGATTTGTCACAGAGCGGCCTTGCACATTTCTACAATAAATAAATAAAGGTAAGGAATAAATATAGTTGTTGACTACTCTTCAGCTTGAAGAAGCTGTACTTGCTTGGATGGAGAGCAGTATGGTGAAGTTTCTGCTTTCTCGGTATTTTTAACCTCTGCCTCTTCATTTGTCAACCTAGAACTTAGTTTAAACAAAGGGAAAGAAGGGGAGTTTTTGACTTAACAATTAATAGAACAATCCAAAGATCACACGTACAACCGTAGCAGCATCCGCATGGAAACATGATCAGAATTGAGACACTTGGCAACTGCTGTGTATTTGGCGCCACATGGACAGGGGTAGGAAACCTTGGCTCTTTTATGACTCGTGGAAGAACCAAGATTGTCAAGTCAGCACATTGCCTTTTTCAGCTGGAAGGCAAAGAAATTAATATAAATCTAAAAAGCATGATTGATTTGATGGTCTATGGTGAAAGACTGAGACAATTAGCTAAGCGATGCTGAGAAAAAAAGTTATTCTGGGGGAAAAAATTAAACATGGAAGGAAACTGAAGAAGGAGAAGTAACAAGGGTGAAAGTAGAGGTGATTACAAGAAGAGAAAAATAGAAACCAGGTATTAAAAAAAAAGTTTTAGATGCAAAGAAAGAAATTGTGGAAGCTGCACAAAACAAAATCAATTGCCTTACAGGATGCCACGGCAGGGTGTGGAATTACAGTAATGGGAAGTGTGAAAAAGAATAATGGCATGAATGAAGCAATATAGGTTGTAGATGAAGAAAAAATGCATATAAGAGAATGATTGCTGCAGAAGAGGAAACCGAACGATGTTTAATAATGTGTGTCGAAAGAGAAGAGTTTGCAAAAATACAGTTCAGAAAAGCAAGGAATGGTTAAGATTAAAAGAATCCAAGAAAACACAGGGTGATTTTGATGGAAATCAAAATGCCTACTGTTTTGCAAGTAGGGAGAGAGGACTGAACAAGGAATCTCCTGCAGGGTGCATGGAATTAAAAATAAAAGTGATGAAATGAAATGCTCCTTCAAAAGGGAAATGAGAAAATGTTGGAAGGAATATTTTAGAGAGCAACAAATTGGAAGAGAGGAATCGAAATACTGTAAATACTGTTCAATTTTAGTGTCTAAGGAACAAATACTGAAAAAGGAAGACCTGTTATAAGGATGATGAAAAAAGGCTAAGGCTCCGGAGTACATGGAATTACTGGAGAACCAATAAAATTTGGATGCTGTATGGTCTGTTTACTGTGTGTGCACAGAATACATTTACGTCTGATGATTAAAGCCGTATCGTCATTACTGCCTACACAAAGGAAAAGATTTCAAGGGCGAATATAACATTACAGGGGAATTAAATTTATTAAGTGTATCTGGGAAGCCGTTTGGTAGAATTTTGACTGAAAAAGTACCAAAAATGACCATTTGGAAAGAGCACCATGGCTTTATGGTAGCGAGATGGGTGGCAAATAAATTTAGTAAGTAACTAAATAAATAACATTGGAGCACGAAAAGTTTTGTGTGAATATGGAGTTGAAGCTTGAAGGCTTAATGAAATAGGAGCAGTGTATGACAGAAATAAAGGCTGTGTACAAATGAACAAGATATTTAATAAACAGTTAAATAATTCAGCAGGGAATAACACAAAGACGTCTGATGATTTAAAATATTTACTGATAAAGTTATATGAAATGCTTGTCATGATGCTAGAGTCCTGACTTATAACCATTCATTCAGTGGCCGTTCAAAGTGATTTACAACCCAGGCCTCACACGTACAACCGTAGCAGCATCTGCATGGAAACATGATCAGAATTCAGGCACTTGGCAACTGCCGTGTATTTGGCGCCACGTGATCGTCATGGTCAGGGGTAGGCAATCTCGGCTCTTTTATGACTCGTGGACTTCAACTCCCAAAATTCCTGAGCCAGTCATGCTGAGGGGAAAGGGAGAGGTTTCCAAGCTGAGCCATGCTGGCTCAGGAACTCTGGGAGTTGAAGTCCACGAGTCATAAAAGAGCCAAGGTTGCCTATCTCTGGCCATGGGCAACCTTCCCATCCGCTTTCAACAAGCAAAATCAGTGGGGGAAGCCAGCTTCACTAAATGACCACGTGATTCATTTAACAACTGCATTGATTTGCCTAACCATAAAAAAATGTGGTAAAATCCAGCGTGACTCGCTTAGCAACCCACCTTGCTTAGGAAAATATATTCTGGTCCCAGTTGTAATTATAAGTCGGGGACTACCTGGATACTGGTTGGAGATATAAATGTAGCTGATAAAATGTTCTTGGCTGAAGGCCCAAAAGATGTGCAGCAAATGTTGAGACAGCAGGAAGAAACACTCTTCTAAAAAGGAATGTTTCAAAGACCAACTTAGTTGTGTTTCATGGGGAAAATGGCGTAAGGATTATAAATCATCTTGTGCATCAAAGGAAAAAAAATACTGCAAATAGATTAATTGGTACACTTCAGTGGAATGCTTATTAAATATAGGGAAGCTAAGACATCCAAATACTGGGAGAAATGATGATGGGTAATATGTAGTCATCAAAAGAAGCAAAAGGGCCGATGTACTAGACTATATTTCTGCCAGTTTAGGTGCATGGAAGTTAATACTGGGCAGGTCAGAAGAAACGTAAGAGTCTGCTGAATGCAGCAGGACAGGATTTTTAAGAAGTGTGTGTGATGATAAAACAAAAATGAATAAGTAATGAATGCATACGGTGTGAATGCAGAAATGTATCTCCTCTATGGAAGAAGTACATTTCAGCGGCTTGGCCAGAGAAGGAAAATAAAGTAGGATCAAATTGCACAACAAGTATAAAAAGGAAGGAAAATGGGTTGAGAGGGAAGAACAGGGAAACTGAGAAAGTCACGGTTGGATGGAGTTGATGAGATCTCCACAAAGAGAAGTGAGAGTTTTAAAGAACAAAGGAAATGTACACAGCAATGGATGGACATGAGAGAAACAAGATGAGTGTGCAGAACAGAACTGCATGGGGAGGGTACGGCAAAAGCTGTCTGTGTTAAATATTTATTTATTCAGCTTTTATAGCTGCGATTCCAGGTGGTTTACAATAAAATAGATAAAATGCACACGATAGTAAAACACACAGCAGGTGGCCATCATCCAAACTATGAACACAGGCAGGAGATGGGCTCTGCCACACACACAAACACAAACACACAGAGGGCCCCGAGCTCCACACAAAACCATGTTTTCAAAGTCTTATGGAAGACCAGCAGAGATGGGGCCAATATAATCTCTTAGTTATGTCCTTTTTTTTTTTGTTCTACCGTCTTCCTTAGTCATTACTTATCCTGAAAATAAGTTGTTTCTTTGCATGTAAAATAGTTGTAAAAAAAACTTTTCTGTCTTAGGCAGAACTGCAACCCAAAGATACAGCTTTGAGAACTAAAATTCTTGTAAAATTAAAAAATATATATATTTAAAAAAATGTGCCTCTCAGATTTGCAAACTGAGCTTAAGAAATTTGCAAAGCCCAGGTGGGGAAAAAAAACACCACATTTTCCCAGTCCTAATTTAAGACTGCCTTTGGGCTCCTTCTGAGATCCCTTAGCTGGGGAGAAAAGATTTCTGACTTGCTCGAACCAGCTGAACCCAGAGATCTAAGGGGCACAAAGGAAAGTAACCACAAGGACCATTAAGCAAGCAAATAGCCTGATTCCAGCACACTTCCAGCATTGGTGAGTGTCTTTGCCTGGCTACATTCAGCTCCACTCATGCTGACTATGGCATGACAGAACGAGAGTCACCTCTGAAATTAAGCATTGAACCAGTTCTGGGATGTTACTGACAAATGCTCAATTGGGCACCGATCCATTCAGCCCCCAGTCTTCTAAGTTACCAGGTGGAAGCGCTTGGAAGAGCTGTCACTGTGTACACAACAGCTGTTTGGAACCACTTTCAGACTTGTGTCAACTGTATTTACTGTCTGGATTCCCAGATGTAGCAGCCTTGCTATGGTGAACAAGTCTCAGCTGGAGGCGAGGTTGTTCATTTGCTTTTCTGTTCCCAATTTCCATTTCTTGTTATTTTTTTTTTCTTTTAGGGGGACCCTGGGATTAATGGCATTAAAGGAGAAAAGGTAATTGGCAATTTCTCTGGATAATCCCTTTCTTATCTCTCTTTGGGCCTATTTTCTCTTTAATTTTAGGTCTTTTCCCCCCCTGCTGCTGACTTCCTGGCTTCAGATCCTATTCAACAAATCAATGCTATGATGCTCTCTCTGCAGCCTTCTCCCCTTGGTAAATTCCTCTCTTTTGCTGATGTTACTCACAAATCTGCTACAGATACTAAGCATGTGTAAAACAATAATCATAATAGCTCTGAAACCGAGATTGATCTCTTTTCCTATATACTGTTTAGTATATACTATAAACTGCCTTGGTGACACTTGGAATACTGCATCCAGTTTTGGTCACCACAAAAAAGAGTTTGAGATTCTGGAAAGAGTCCCAAGAATAGTAATAAAGATGATTAGGAGGCTGGGGGCTGAAAAATATGATGAATGGTTGCAGTAACTGGGTATGTCTAGTTTAACAAAGAGAAGAACTAGGGATGACACGATAACAGTCTTCCAATATTTAAGACACTGCCACAAAGAAGAGGGAGACAACCTGTTCTCCAAAGTACTTGAGACAGGACAAGAAGTAATCGATGGAGACTTATCCAAGAGAGAGTAACTGGGTATGTCTAGTTTAACAAAGAGAAGAACTAGGGATGACATGATAACAGTCTTCCAATATTTAAGACACTGTCGCAAAGAAGAGGGAGACAACCTGTTCTCCAGAATACTTGAGACAGGACAAGAAGTAATGGATGGAGACTTATCCAAGAGAGATCCACCCTAGAACTAAGGAGAAATGTCCTGACAATGAGAACAATTAATCAATGGAACATCTTGCCTTCCGAAGCTGTTGGTGCTCCATCACTGGAGGTTTTTAAGAAGAGATTGACAACATCTGTTTGGAATGGTATAGGATCTCCTGCTTAGGCAGCGAGTTGGATTAGAAGATCTCCAAGGTCCTCTTCAAGTCAGTTGTTCTGTATTCCTGAAATTAAGTCTGTTTACTAGAGATTAACTCAGTCTGCTTCTGCTTTCCTTTGACACCATCTCTGGTGGAAGCTTTACTGACTTAGAGCCAGCAGAACTGAACTGGCCCGATCTAAATCTTGGTTTTTGCTCTCTATGTCTTCAGGGTGAACCATGTTTGTCGTGCATCCCACTCGGTTTTCATTTACAAGATCCTCAGAAAAATAGGTCTGAAGAAAGCAGTTCAAAGTTTGGGCTTCCCGTATGTATAAATCCCCAAACTTCTTTTATGCCTTTAAGCCTGTGGAGAGATGAAGAACAATAAAGAGAATGTGAAAGAGAGTTTTTGGCCCTCATGGATATAACACAATGCTCTGAACATTTCCTGTAAAGAGTGAAGTCCATGATGTTCACATCACCTTCTGGCCTATTTTTTGCTCATTGCCTCAGCCTTCTTCTGCAAAGTTGCCTGTTCGTATGTAAGGGCACCAAGTACTGTACATTAATATCCAGGTGGGGCTGATGGGGCAAGGGGTGGGCTGTTCAAGAATGTTCAACTGTTTTAAACTATTTAAATGGGCCACCCAATTAAGTGGCAGCATCTAGGATCCAATCTAGGTTGGTGACTAGGACCAGAGGTTTAGTCTTCCAAGATTTCAGACTCATGCTGGTGTCTATCCTCAGGAAACATCTTTCTCACCAGCATGTGTCATTCTGGCTAAACGTCTAGTCCCAGTGACCGATCCAGATTGGATCCTGCAACATTATTGTGGGATCCATCTATTTGCCTTCATTTGTGACAGTATCATTTGAGCCATGGTTGGAATGCAGTACTGCAGGCTAATTCTGCTGACTGTCGATTACCAGCTGTTTGGCAGTTCAATTCTCACCGGCTCAGGGTTGACTCAGCCTTCCATCCTTCCGAAGTCGGTACAATGAGGACCCAGATTGTTGATTTTGTAAATGGCTTAGAGAAGGCTGTAAAGCATTGTGAAGCGGTATATAAGTCTATTGCTTTTGCTATCTAGTGGATATTAGTTGATCTTGAAAAGCTAAGTCAAATCAGCCCTGGTTAATCAGGATTGTAGGCTAGAATGAAAAATGGGAAGAGTCACTAATACAGTGTCAAACCATTTCTATATTGTTACCAAAAACCCTGCTTGAAATGGGCCTGCAAGTCTGGATAGTCTTCAACTTAGAACCATTTGTTTAGTGACCATTTTAAGTTAAACGACACTGAAACAAGCCATTTGTGACCATTGCTCATATTTAATGACTGTTGCAGCATCCCCATGGGCACATGGTCCTAACTATGGTCGTAAGTTGAGGACTACTTTAACTTTTGATAAATTGCCTTGATAAGTATCATATTAATCGTTTCCTCACTAACGTTGGCCACTGATTTTTCCACCTGACCGCACAGGGTATGCCTGGCTCTCCTGGGACGGCTGGACTCAAAGGAGAAAAGGTAAAATGTTCAGCATGCACAATTCATTTTCAAGTGTTTGTTCATTCAGAGTTTAATAAAATTGTGTATGTAACTGTTGACAAGTGTATCTGCGTGCTTCCATAATATGTGTACACTGTTTTTACTTGCTGGATGTCTGGATTATTTACTGAGTTATTCAAAGAACGCATAAATCTACAGTCTTGGATTTAGTGTCATAAACTTGAATCGTTATTTTCTTTTACAAGGCAGAGATTCCAGTGGCATGTTCACAACGTACGAACATGTAAACTTCCTCTCTTGGGGAAGGCTACAGATTTGTAGGTTTAACCTAATGATCTTCCATAGCAATCTACAAAGTTTTCTGGGAACTTATGATCAACACTCAGGCTGCACTTCACTTTCAGATTCTTTATATGAGCAGCAAAATCAATTCAGTGTACCAACTTTGAGCTGCCAATAGTACTTAATATCATATTATTGTTTGCTTGGAATGAAGAAACATTGCCTCCCTGAGCTGCTTTCACTTATTCCTCTGCCCCCCCCCCCATTTCCAGGTTAATCCTTTGATCAATAGGCTGCTTTTATGTCAGAAGTCCCATTATGGCCCGTTTGCTTCTTTCAGTAACCTGCCTGTTTTTCTCTCTTCCTTAGGGAGACCGTGGACTTTTTGGGCCTGTAGGCAAACCTGTGAGTAGGACCAGGCAAGAAAGTTTTGTAACGGTGCTGGTTTCTCTCTAGAATCATTCTGTGGTCTGGATAGTGTGAACATGTTGTGAAAGCAAATGGAAGCCATGTGAATTGTGAGAAACCACACTAATGTCCCCATCTCTGAGTTCTCAAAAAAACATAAGTCTTTCAGATCACCTTCCAGGTACTGGTCAGTCTGGTCTAGTGGTGAAGACACCAGGCTAGAAGCCAGGAAATAGTGAGCTAGTCCCACCTTAGGTATGAAAGCCGCTGGGAGAATTTGGGTTGAATGGCTGACTTTGGACCAATTACCAGGAGACAGTGAATTCTAGTTCCACTTAGGCATGAAAGCCATCTGGGTAACTTTGGGCCAATCACCAGGAGATGGTGAGTTCTAGTCCTGCCTTAGGCATGAAAGCCATCTGGGTAACTTTGGGCCAATCCCCTTCTCTCATTCAACCCACCACAGATTTGTTGTTTTGGGGAAAATAAAAGGAGGAATAGGTATGTTTGCCACCTTGATTTATTTATAAAATAACAAAGGTGGGATTTAAAAACATCTAATAATATTTTTTAAAAAAATGCTAACCAAAAAAGGGAGGGTGCATTTTTGTGTGGGAGTAGAAGGAGTGATCCTTGCAGCAGAGGATAGTAACTCTGAATTCCAAGAATGAACTGCAAATAGTTAGGCTCTCCTTGGGATTTTTTTTTTCCCTTCTCAGAAATTCTGTTCCAGATGTTACAACGCAGACACTCACACACAAGAACCCAGAGAGCTGTTCAATACATTCTAATGCTGGACAATTAACTTTAATGATTGGGTTCATTATCCAACTAAACTACAATGCCAACAAGATTAAAAGAACTCTTTGGCTTTTCCCCTTTTCCACGCCCTTCTTAATTGCATCTGAACCTCTTCTCTGTTTTCAGGGAATCCAGGGCAATAAAGGGGACACTGGCGGTCCAGGAGTCAAAGGCGAGAAGGTGAGCAACTTGATAACAAGAGATGAAATGAGCATGACTTACCTGTTCCTGTAAGACAGCCATGAATGTTGACAAGTCTTTTTTCGTCTCCCACCATCTTTTCTCAGGGCGAATCATGCACATCCTGCTCTTCTCTAGAAGGTGGAAAAGTTACTATCAGTGTCCCTGGGCCTCAAGGTGAAAAGGGCGAACCAGGTGTCCCTGGGATTGGACTTCCTGGAAAACAAGTGAGTGGGCTTCTCAGTTAGGTCTCATTTAGGGGGAGGAGAAAGAGGGGCTATTATCCTAAAAGGACTTGCCGGAAGATGGTCTCTACATGTGGAAGGAAATCACCATTTCCTGATACAATGGAATGCATTCGTTTATTTTGCAGTTGAGGCCCACAAATGGTGCCTCAGAGTTGAAATGATATTTATATCCATTTGTTTATTTTCTTAAATGCATACGTCGCCCATCTCACCGATAAGATGACTCTGTCAAGGAAAGAGGATCGTATTTAAGTTGAAAGGATTTCACTTTTGATTTTAGTTCCATATAGTGAATACATAAGCTTGCTCATAATAGATTTGGCTTACAAAGGTGCTTCTCAAAAAGCAACTGGACTTTCTTGGTTTTTTTATAGTAATAATAATAACAATAACAATAATAATAATAATAAAGTTGGAAAGGACCTTGGACTATCGAGTCCAACCCCCTGCTCAGGCAGGAAACCCTACACCAGGGGTTCTCAACCTTGGCAACTTTAAGACTTGTGGACTTCAACTCCCAGAATTCCTCAGCCAGCAGCTGGCTGAGGAATTCTGGGAGTTGAAGTCCACAAGTCTTAAAGTTGCCAAGGTTGAGAAACCCTGCCCTACACCATTTCGGACAAATGGCTGTCCAGTCTCTTTTCAAAACATTTCTCTTCTCATCCAGGAAGCTTCTTCAGTTCAACTGAAGAAGATAAACTGAAGAAGCTTCTTGGATAAGAAGTGAAATGTTTTCAAGGAAGAAAACCAAGAAATTCCAGTTGCACCTTTGGGACAATCGCGACCTGGACGACTGATAATCTCCATAGACCATTGGCTTACAAAACCTCTTCCTAGTTTAGTCTCTTTGTCTCCTTTGGCTGCAGTGACCGCCTGGTGTTCTTCTGAGCTCACTTTGTGTATTCCTTTGCTTTTACCCCATCATCATCATAAGAAAGCAAGTGCTAATCATTTCCCCTTTCACTGGAGGGTCTTGAAGAGCTTGTGGTTCCCCTTTCTACTTTCTGATGACCCCCTGTGGATTTTCAGTCTGGTGTATCTATTGGTAGATTGGTAAAAAAAAAAAAAGGAAAGTAGGAGTTCTATTGTACCATTCAGGTGGAGTAGAATGGGAAACTGGCAGAACTGTTGCCAATTTCATTGGGAAGGAAGGAAGGAAGGAAGGAAGGAAGGAAGGAAGGAAGGGAGGGAGGGAGGGAAGGGAGGGAGGGGAAGGAAGGAAAGAAGGAAGGAAGAAAGGAGGGAGGGAGTGGAGGGAGGAAAGGGGAGGGGGAGGGAGGGAGGAAGGGAGGGAGGGATGGAGCGGAGGGAAGGGAGGAAGGGAAGGGAGGGAGGAAGGAAGGAAGGAAAGAAGGAAGGAAAGAAAGGAGGGAGGGAGGGAGTGGAGGGAGGGAAGGGGAGGGAGGGAGGGAAGGAAGGAAGGAAGGAAGGAAGGAAGGAAGGAAGGAAGGAAGGAAGGAAGGAAGGAAGGAAGGAAGGAAGGAAGGAAAGTTGGTTCACCATTCCCCCATTTATAACAGAAAAAAACATACATTTAATTCTTCTACCAAAGAATTTCTTTTAAAAAAAAGATTCACCAGTGAAGGTCTCCTTTGAAGAGGGTACACAACAGAGAAAGTCAAGACAACATAGCTTGAAAGCAGTGACCAGTGATGGGGGCAGGCGAGTTCTGCCACAGCAACCTACATGAAGGAATTTGCTTACTAAGAATTGCAGCGTAGCAGGCAACACCAATCTTACCAAGAAAACAACTCCGCAAAAAGGCAAAAACTACTTTAATTGAGCTTGGCAAAAATAACCACATTTTGCAAGCCTCCTTGAGTTGTACTTCGTGGTCTTTCCTGTAGTGAAAGGTTTCTGTCTGAGCCAGACTGAAAAGTTATCTGAACACTCTGAACTCAGAAAATGTTTACCGCTTGCCACTGAAGCTTGCCTATCTCCATCAAGGTCATTTTCCTTACTTTCTATGAGCTGGCCCAACTTGGAGAGTGCTATGTTTGCAGTGTTACTGGAAAAGATAGGTGGGCATTGACATTTTGTTAGGCTGAGCCCTTGGGAAATGATCAGTGAGCTGTACTGAATCAACCTGCTTGTGCAAATTAGCCCAGAGAGGACCAAAATATGATGGATAATCCCACTGGTGTAATTGAACAGTGTATCACCCAAATTTGGCCACCATTGATTGACTATTAATGAAAAGAGTTTTCCCAGATCAGTTGGAAATGTGGAGCGCATGAAACAGTATGTTTTACAGAATATCTGTAGCTCAGGGTTGAAGTGTGGGATCCTTGATGCTCTTTGAACTTTGTGATTTTCTTGCAGACATTTCATTACCCAATTAGGTAACATCATCAGTGCTAGAAAGGAGTGCCAATGATGTTATATAGTTGGGTAATGAAACCTCTGCAAGAAAACCACCAAGCTTTAGAGCGCATCAAAGACTCCACAGCACATCTTGCTATGATTTGACAGCCGATGCCATTGTTCCATGCAAAATAGGATTGGAGAAGATACTGCAAACAGCTTCCTTATTAGATTGCCTGAACAAACCTCTATAAAAAGAATTTCCGGCTGCCATAAGGTAGTTCCAATGTGTCAGTCTAGGTGGAAAAGTGTTCAGTTCATATTTGCTTTCTCTGCTTTAGGGAATACCTGGAGAAGCTGGAATAAAAGGACAGAAGGTAAGTTAAAGCTTTGGTTTCTCAGCCCCAAAGTAAACAGGGTGAGCTTCTGACGGTGGCCAGGAACTTCATTTGTTTCCCCAAACACTGATGTGTTGCAAAGCAAGGGCATTCATTTTCATTATTAAGGCTGGATCATGGGAAAAGGGCATAAATTGTATATTGACATGATCTAATTGTGGAAGAAAAGTGCAATAATTTGTAATGCAATCAAGTTATAAAAACTACAGAGAAAACACTGGAAATATTCGCAGATATATTCCCTTTGTTTGCCTGCTTTATTAGTCTGTTATTCAAACCATTTCTTAACCATCACCCAGCTCTACAATATGATGTGAGTAGAAAATTGCTCCTTCAGTGGAGTCCACCTCATTATTCTGATTAAACCCTTTCTAAATAAACCCTGGCAGAAAATGAGTCCACTCATCCATTCTTTATTCATGGAAAACAGATTGTTTCCACAATCTTTATAGGAATAATATTGTTGCACACATAGTGCATCTTTTAAAACTGAGCACTTGGGATGCTGCAGGGTAAGTAAAGATGGAGATGGGCCTGCCTTTATTCTATCACCAGCAGGGAACCAGTTCCCACCAGTTGTATCATGGCTACAACAGGAAGTTTGACTAGTTTTACCAAGAGCGAGATGCAATTGGACAGATTCATCTAGTTACACCAAACCAAGATTTTATTCATTATGTTCTGTTGAATATGAGCTGGTTCACACATCATACAAAGCCTGGAAACAGCAGTTGAGTTCACACATTATTCAAAAATCAGTGATCCTTGTGATGCATTCACTTTATAGTGACCCTAATTTGTTTTTTTTGGGGGGGGGGGGCATAAAGGACAAAGCAGAAAAGGGGAAAAATCTGAAAAAAGTTAATAAGGGTATATACACGCATACATACCGATGTACGTATACATATATACATATTTATTTGCCAAGGGCCAAACCAGAAAATAAATAATTAAATTAATCTAAAGGGCAGCCTTCTGAAATAAAGAACGGCACTTTATAATAAAGGTTGACAGGTCATTCTAATTTACCTAAAGAGGTAGTTTTTGACTTATCACCATTCATTTATTGACTTTCAAAGTTACAATGGTGCTGAAAAAGGGACTTATAGTTATAACCGTCACAACATACATGTGGTATGACAGTTGCAGTATGTCCTGGTGTCACAAACATCATTTGTGACTTTCCCAGCTAAGGTCCAACATGCAAAGTCAACAGGGGAACCTGGATTCACTTAAGGATCACAGTGATTCATGTAACAAGCATGTGGCATAAAAAAATGGCAAAATCAGAGGTGATTTTGACTTATTTGACCAACAGACGTTCTGCCCCCAATTGTAAATTGAGGACTACACCTGTATGGGTGCAAATGCATGTACAAACACAAGTTAGGCCAGAGCAAAATGAGAAGAAGAAAAAAGATTCTCACATTGTTCAAGAATATAGATAAAATAATTTCAGCAGAAGCAGATTGTTTTTCAGAACTGAGGAATAATTTAATTCTGGACATTCCATTTTATGCAGTTCTGAAAGGCACACAGGCCCTGAGGCTCAAGAACTAGAATTGCAGTTGCCTAGCAACCCTTACCAAGTGGGCCATCTTGGCCTGTGCACTTGCACACCTTTCCTCTCAAAGCCACCTTCACCTGAAAGCCTTTGGGTTGCCTGGCAACCTTGCACTGGGTTCCTGAATATCCGTAGCCATTTCCTGGAATAAGCATTAGGAATTAGAAAGATTTCTTAGAATTTAGAGGAAATGATATATGAAATTGTGGTGAGAGAACTTGGCACTGTGTTAACTGACACCCAGCAGACAGCTGTAACCTTGCTGCTACGGAGATAAAATAAGCACACCAGGAACTGACAATTATTAATATATACACACAAAAAAAAATGTGAAATCACAGCTGCCAGTTCTTTAGCTGGTGTTGGTTTGCCTCACGTTCTTCCCAAGAACTTGGGATGTCATATCAGCATAGTATATGTATGGATCCCAGCAGTATGGCCTTTTGTAACTGACAGATGGAAATGTTGTCAATTCACAGATTTTCTAAGTGCTCCAGGATTTGTTGGTACGGCACCCAGTGTGTCAATAACTACTGGGACTATCATGGCTGCTTTTTGCCGTTATCTTTCAGCGTTGATTTCAGATCTTGATTCTTCGTGACCTTCTCCATTTCTTTGTCTTCTGTTCTGCTATATATCTGGGGTGGCCACATCAAATATTCACATTTTCTTCTAATCAGTAAGGCTTCTCACTTAATCAGTCAGATATTTAGTCTGGATTTGGCATTTTTGTCCACCTATCGAGTCGTTCAGAAGGACTTGGAATACGCAGATGTTGTTGGCCTTCTAGTTATTGCTATCCTATCACTCCAACATCTCTTACCATGGTACTAAGTTCTAGTCAGTGTTCATGGTTCCTTCCCTTCTTATTACTTCCAAATTAATTGAATTGATTGGCCCACAGATAAAGCTTATTTTGTAGCTAAGTGGAGACTCCTATCTAATTTTCCCAAACCTAATTGGAAAATTTATCACTGTTTACTTTTGCTACACTATTAGTACCAGCTCTATGGCCACAGAGGATCTGCTACACTATTAGTACCAGCTCTATGACCACAGAGGATCTGCCTTGTACCACATTGCTCTGGGTATAGTGTGCTGTCATATTGTATAGCACCACAGACATAACATATACAGAAGCATAACATATACACTTAGGAAGTTGTGCAATTGCAACTATTATGTCTGTAACTCACCTGAATGAGTGTGGTGTGTGAACACAGACATACTCTGCACCAGACCAGAGAGTTTTCATCTCTCTTCTCCTATCTTCTGTGCTTTCCAGGGTGATGCAGGAAACCCCGGTGATCCGGGCACACCTGGTGAAGCAGGTTTGCATGGCCTTCCTGGTGAGCCAGGCATCAGAGGACTAGCAGGGGTGAAAGGTGAAAAGGTGAGAGTCTGCTTTTTTTGAAATACTGGGAACTCATAAGAAAAATAGCTTAGACACCGTCCAGGTCCAATTAAACTGTTTCTCATCCACCTAACTTGCACCTTTCTGCAAGTAGAAGGGATAATTTTAACACATTTGTAAATCTATAGGAACACAATCATTTATAAATAGAGTTGGCACAGGTGTCAACAACTATGGTCAAAAAAGTCAAGGTCCAGTACATACGACACATTAAAAAAGCAGAGTTTTGTTTGTACCATCATGACTGGCATCTTGATTGTTTTGACCATATTTTATGGACATCCCTGGTGGAAGGAAGGAAGGGAGGGAGGGAGGGAGGGAGGGAGGGAGGGAGGGAGGGAGGGAGGAAGGGCTGACTGCCTCCCCTGAACAAAAATATGACATCTGAGACAAATTGATTATTCTATACTCAAACAATAAAAATAATATTTAAACCAGAATCTCTTTAGAGGTCATGTCCTAATGAAGAAAGTTCCCGAGAAGCATTTTTACTCTTACAACTTTTTTAAGGCACAAACTGCAATTTCATACATTTTCACAGAGTAGTGGATTCCCCTGCTAACATTTATTAGCACCTTATTCAGATGGCATGGGGAGGTTTTAGAAAAAGAGTTTCAAGGATGTCTATGAGCCTCTGGTTGCTTATTCCTCTTTCTGTGAACCTTCTTCATAAGTGGTTTAAACAATCTGTTTGCACAAAGCTTGAGCCGTGCACTTTGGCCACACTGTTGTGGATGTTGAGAGCATGACCAGTGAAGAGTTTCACATGTTCCATTCCAGTTCTATAACTTTCTGTAGCCAGTGGCTGTGTGATATGTTGTATGAAGAAATAACATAGCACTTGTATCAAACTTGGAACTGACCTATCCGTTGTTTCTCACCTGCCTTCTCTCATCCTACAGGGAGAGGCTTGTGAGTCATGTCCCATAATCAGCACGGACCAACCTGGAGTAGTTGGTGTCCCAGGCAGACCTGGTCAAAAAGGGGATCCTGGTCTTCCAGGTGTAGGTCAGCCAGGCAAACCTGTAAGTAACTTTGAAACAGTCCAACCAGTGATCAGTTATGAGTTTGTTTTCTTATTATATATGTTTATCCTGTCTTTTTTATACATAACTCAAAGTGACAAACACACACAATACTTCTCCCGCCTCCTAGTTTCCCCACAACAACAATCCTTTCAGGAAAGTAAAGTCCACCAATTGGTTTTCATGCCTAAGGCAGGACTAGCACTCAATTTTTTCATTGAGAACTTAGTCTCATATAACCAAGATTCATTCTTGTTCTTTCCAGTTATTTGTATAAAAAAGGCAGAACATTTCAGCCTGCATCTTTAGCAACCCATGTCACTCTGTATTCCTGGAACTGAACCGCTAGCTTGTCAATGGATCTTTAAAAATGCCACGGTGCTCTGGACCAACTTGCCAGTTCATCCAGAGCTGGGTTCAATTTTCAAGTAGTAGAATTTCTTTGAGTGTCAGATTGCAGAGTCCCATGGTTCCCACTCGAGTAGGTTGTCTAGGGATTATGGGCCTTGTAACCAGGAAGGCATCAAATTGGAGAAGAGTAGCCTACTGCTCTCGTGGCTAATAGCTGTTGACAGAATTCTCCTTCTCTGAATCTTTCTAACCCCTTAAGACAAGAGCCATCGCCAGAGCGTGCAGAAATGACTTTCATCAGTTAATTACACATTGCATGAAGATACATTTCCTCTCATCCGCTGCGAGCTTTGTTCCAATCAAGTTTATTTGAAGGCACCGTGTTAACTGCTGGTTTTCATTCCTTTAATTAACTGATTTGATTTACATATCAGAATACCTTCGTCAAGCAGCTTTTCTGAATAAAAGGTGACCATTGTGGAACAATAAATGTCAAATCATTAATGTCCCCAGACTTTGATTAACAAAAGAAAATCTATCTGCATGAGATTTTTTTTTTTTAATTAAAGCTACAAAATAAACCAAGCTGTAATCTTATTAAGTTGGGAATATATCTGATAATGTTGAGGATAACTTACAGTAATAGCCCTACAGTTACATTCTCACAAATATTGCTCTTTAACCTTAATTTGAGAAAGAAGCCCTTATTCAGGCTGGCAGAGTTGACCTCATCTAATTCTCTGTGTATTTAGTAATTTCACTCAGGCACAGAAGCAGCCTAGAATTTCCCACTGGGATTCAGAGTTTCGCTTGTTCAAAATCTCCATGTTGATTTTACTTGAAAAGAAGAAATGCATTTCTACCCTTTAGATTCTTAAGTAAAGCTTAAAAGGACGAGGAGAAATGAAAGCATCTGGGTCTGTTTTAGCCTTGAGAAGATTGAAGATTATATTAGAGCAGTCTAAATACCTGAGGATATCTTACAAAGGACGCCAAGACTGTTCTCTCTCATCCCAGGGTGCAAGACAAAGAATAATGGATTTAAGTTGTGGAAAGGCAGGTAGTCAAATGTGGTGAAAAGTGGAACCAATTACTAAATGAGGTGAATTTCTCTGCACTAGATTTCTCACACCGAGACTAAGGGGCCATCTGTTGATAATGCTTTAAACTGGCGTCTTGCCTGAAGTGTAAGATTCATCTTGATTATCCAAATAACCACTTCCAAAATTTAGAAGTGTAAAGGTTTATATAACTGTTCACTGTAGCTCATCCTTTCCAGTGTAAACACATATTTTATTCAGTTTTGCCAAATCAACCATAGGGTCCTTAGTTTTCTCCCTCAGGATTATCTGTCAACTGGAAACTAGTCAAGTAGGGATGGGGAACCTGCAACTACAGCTACAACTCCTAACAGTCCTCATTATTAGCTAGGAATAGGGGGATGATGCAATCCAACATCTGGAGGGCTTCAGATTTCCATCCCTTTGATAAAGCAAACTTCTCAGACACACAGATGTGTGGGATCCTTGGTGCTCCCTGAGTGTCATTGTTTTCTTGCAGATGTTTCATTACCAAACTAGGTAACATCATCAGTGCAGTGATGAAGTTGCTTAGTTTGGTAATGAAATGGAAAAGCACCAAGTCTGGAGAGCACCAAGGAGAGTTCGATACAAATATAGATGTAACTTTGACCATACAGGTGGGGGATTGGGGCAGGTGGTCCAGTACAACTAGAATATGCTGTTGTCAGAGATGGAAGACAAATAATAATAATAATAATAATAATAATAATAATAATAATAATAATAATAACAATAATAATAATAGTAAAGTTGGAAGGGACCTTGGAGGTCACTAATCCAACCCCCTGCTCAGGCAGGAAACCGTACACTATTTCGGACAAATGGTTGTCCAGTCTCTTCTTTAAAACTTCCAGTGTTGGACTATTCACCACTTCTGGAGGCAGGTTGTTCCACTGGTGAATTGTTCTCACTATCAAGAAGTTTCTCCTTAGTTCTAGGTTGCTTCTCTCCTTGATTAGTTTCCATCCGTTGCTTCTTGTCCTGCCCTCAGGCACTTTGGAGAATAGCTTGACTCCCTCTTCTTTGGGGCAGCCCCTGAGATATTGGAACACTGCTATCATGTACCTCCTCGTCCTTCTCTTCATTAAACTAGAAATAAACAATTCCAGCAGCCGTTCCTTATATGCTTTAGCCTCCAGTCCCCTAATCCTCTTTGTTGTTCTTCTCTGCCCTCTTTCTAGAGTCTCAGTATCTTTTTTACATCGCGGTGACCAAAATTCCATTTCTCTGGAGTTTTGTCCAGGATGCCATTGAACTAGATACCTTCAGATGGGAAGAGTTGAAAAGTTCTAAATGCGTTGAACTAATTCTTTGTTCCTCCTCCAATTCTCAGGGAAAACCAGGACTTCCAGGTGTTCAGGGACCTCCTGGCCTGAAGGGGTTGCAGGTGAGTAACCATCAGTGTTGTATTCATTCAAAGAGCTTTTCTCGGGCATCCATTTTCAGCTTTCCTGGAGTGGTAGAATAGACTCACAGAAAAATGAGTGGCTATCGTTAAGTAGTTACTATGAGGTCCAGACCAATTTTAGGGCAAATAAATAAAGCTTGTGGAGCTCATCCCCTGCTCCCTGAGCTTTATTTATTTGCCCTAAAATAGGATGGGTTAAATACAGGGGTAGTCAACCTTGGCTCTTTTATGACTGGTGGACTTCAACTCCCAGAATTCCTGAGCCAGTCAACCTTGGCTCTTTTATGACTGGTGGACTTCAACTCCCAGAATTCCTGAGCCAGTCAACCTTGGCTCTTTTATGACTGGTGGACTTCAACTCCCAGAATTCCTGAGCCAGTCAACCTTGGCTCTTTTATGACTGGTGGACTTCAACTCCCAGAATTCCTGAGCCAGTCAACCTTGGCTCTTTTATGACTCGTGGACTTCAACTCCCAGAATTCCTGAGCCAGTCAACCTTGGCTCTTTTATGACTCGTGGACTTCAACTCCCAGAATTCCTGAGCCAGTCAACCTTGGCTCTTTTATGACTCGTGGACTTCAACTCCCAGAATTCCTGAGCCAGTCAACCTTGGCTCTTTTATGACTGGTGGACTTCAACTCCCAGAATTCCTGAGCCAGTCAACCTTGGCTCTTTTATGACTGGTGGACTTCAACTCCCAGAATTCCTGAGCCAGTCAACCTTGGCTCTTTTATGACTCGTGGACTTCAACTCCCAGAATTCCTGAGCCAGTCAACCTTGGCTCTTTTATGACTCGTGGACTTCAACTCCCAGAATTCCTGAGCCAGCTAAGCTGGCTCAGGAATTCTGGGAATTGAAGTCCACGAGTCATAAAAGAGCCAAGGTTGACTACCCCTGGGTTAAAACATTGGTTCTGATTCCTCGGAGGAGGGAAGAGGAGAAGAAACATTAAGCTACTTCTTCTCAAGACTTGTGGATTGAAAGTTTCTTGCTAAGAGTCGTGTTTCCACTAACATAACTTTTGCAACTTTTTAGGGAGAACCAGGCATATCTGGCATAGGAATCCAAGGGCCAGAAGTGAGTAACTCCCTTTTCGATATCTTGTGGGCCTTGCTTCAACCATGCATCACCATTAGTATCAACCCCAAATGTTTATCTATGCTTTTTTGCAGGGAGAAACTGGGCAAAAAGGATTACCAGGAAATCCAGTAAGTATCAACCCCCTGGACACCTTGCTACCCTGTTTGACTACACAGGGGTCATCTTTTTTCAAGAGTCCCAACCCATCCAACCAGATCTAGCAGAAGGGGCATTATTCTGCGACCGTGAACTGAGATGCGTTATATTTCTGATCCAGATAGCGTAAACTCCACGGACATGGTTTTAAACAAATATTTATTGTCCAGGAATTCTAAGCAGAGACTTTCTGTGCAGCAGATATATCTGGTCATATTCATATCTGTCCATTCTCGTAGGTAAAAAGGAATAATTCCCCATCTCAGCTAGGCATGGATATGGACGCCAATCAATGTGTGCATGATGCTTGATTAAACACAGGCTTTTACAACCCTGGCACTTAGCCAGGACATCCTGTAATAAACTTTAAAGCCCCTCCCACTGACTAGATAAGATATGAGCCGAGGTGGCGCAGCAGTTAGAGTGCAGTACTGCAGGCCACTTTAGCTGACTGTGTTCAGCAGGTCAGCGGTTCAAATCTCACCGGCTCAAGGTTGACTCAGCCTTCCATCCTTCCGGGGTAGGTAAAATGAGGACCCAGATTGTTGGGGGCAAAGTAAATATATATATACATTGCTTACTGGTGTACACCGCTTAGAGAGTGCTCGCACTGAAAGCGGTATATAAGTCTCATAAATAAATAAATAAATAAATATAGGACTGACTAGACTACATTTCCCAGAGGCCATCACTTAAGGCAGTGATTCTCAACCTTTCTAATGCCGTGACCCCATAATACAGTTCCCCATGTTGTGGTGACCCCCAAGTGGGTGTGGCCACCAATAACAGGGAGTAGGACAGCTAGGGAAAAGGGAAAAAAATGGCGGACAGCATGGTTTGGCGACCCCCGTGAAATGGTCATTTGACCCCAAATGGGGTCCCGACCCACAGGTTGAGAACCACTGACTTAAGGAGACAGCGTTTGACCCTTTAAATGCTAAACGCTCTAATACAGTTCTTAATTCCTAAGCTAAATACATGCTCTGGCCAGAGTTATATACTGGTCCAGCACAGGCATGCTGCAGATCTCATCAGCCAAAGATTGTCAGCTGACAGGGACTAGAAGGGAAGCTTTTTCTGAAGTGGTCCCTGTTCCTGTGGAACAAGCTCTCTTCAGAGATTAGAATGGCCCCAACCCTGTTAGCCTTTCATAAGACCTTAAAAACAGGGCCATCCTCCCGAGACTAGGATGCTGAACACCTTAAGGCTCCCTTTTCCGGACTACATGGTTCATTGGTCAAGTATCTCAGCTGCTATGTATATTTATTTTGGAGGTGTCTGCTGTTTTTATTGCTTTAAAATATTTTTAATATTTTGATTGTTATATACTTTTTGAATTATGAGCCACCCAGAGTGATTGACCAAGATGGGCAACTGTAGAAATTGAAGGAACGAATGAATGAATGATAGCCATCTCTCACTGCATACCAGACACTTGATGCACAGGAGAGCTGACCCCAATTATTTGGGCAATTTTAGGGCAAAAAAAAATAAAGCTCATGGAATAAGTTGGGGTAGGGTGGTGATCAGAGACTCTCGATAGGATAGTTTCGTCAAGGAGTCCATGATTTTATGGCATGAGGGTTTTGCAGACCCTTGGGATTCCATATGGATTTGGAGGCATGCAAATAATAAAATAAAATCTGGCACTCACCTGGAAATTACAGCACCTTTGCTTTTGCTCTAGAGTAATTGCTGTGTTTTTCCCTGTTTTCTTTTTTTCTCACCTTCAGGGGCCTCCAGGACCTCGTGGTCCAGTAGGAAATCCTGGAATAAAAGGTGCAAAGGTGAGCATCTGCATGTGGAAATGTGTAATTTCCTATGGTTGAAGAATTAGTTAGAAAGAGCCGTGATGGTCCAGTGCTTAGAATGCAGCATTGCAGGGATCCCTGCTCACTGCCAAGATTTTGAGCCTGATTGGCTGAAGGTTGACTCAGCCTTCCATCCTTCCGAGGTCGGTGAAATGAGGACCCATATAATAATAATAATAATAAAGTTGGAAGGGACTTTGGAGGTCATCAAGTCCAACCCCCTGCTCAGGCAGGAAACCCTATACCATTTCAGACACATGGCTGTCCAGTCTCTTCTTAAAAACTTCCAGTGTTGGAGCATTCACCGCTTCCGGAGGCAGGTTGTTCCACTGGTTAATAATTCTAACTGTCAGGAAGTTTCTCCTTAGTTCTTGGTTGCTTCTCTCCTTGATGAGTTTCCATCCATTGCTTCTTGTCCTGCCTTCAGGTGCTTTGGAGAATAGCTTGACTCCCTCTTCTTTGGGGCAGCCCCTGAGATATTGGAATGCTGTTATCATGTCCCCCCTCATCCTTCTCTTCATTAAATTAGACCTACCCAATTCCAGCAATTGTTCCTTATATGTTTTAGCCTCCAGTCCCTGATCATCTTTGTTGCTCTTCTCTTACTCTTTCTAGAGTCTCAGCATCTTTTTTGCATTGTGGTGACCAAAACTGGATGCAGCATTCCAAGTGTGGAATATTGGGGGCAATGTGCTGACTGTATAAACCGCTTAGAGAGGGTTGTATAGCACTGTGAAGCAGTATATAAGCTTAAGTGCTATTGCTATGGCTATCTAGGAACTTCCATTTGAATGCTTAATCGGGCTTTGTGTTCTCATTCCCGTCTATATATTCTTGTGAAATGTATCTGAGAAGCAGTTAGTGTCAGGTGCAAGGAATCAGAATAACACCATGAGCCGATAGAGAAATTTCCACCACACCAATTTTCCTTTAGCTCTAGAGAGAGAGAAATGTTATATTCTGACAAGCCCCCATGGATGAGGTTTAATATGACTTCCATCTATGCTCTATGGGGGTGGGAGGTGTTCCATTTTTATCCAGTATATTTTCTTTGTGGCATTTTTAATTAGATTGACCACATGAACCATTGCATTGCTGACTTTATCCTTACTGGCAATAGTCAGGCGTGTGTAATCAGATGTTATTTTATAGGGTTCAAATCCTCTTCTGGGCATTGAACTCTCATGCATTATCAAACTTTAGATTAGTACAATAAAGCACACTAGCTTTAGGAGTTTATTACAAGTTCTGGTGCAGGAAGAAATGTATATGAGATGAGATGAATAGTCACTTCAGCTCTCAGAAAGAGAACCCCATGTTATGTCGATGCTGAATCTGGGGCTGGGAGGTGCTGTTTCCCATGGAACTAAAAGACAAATTAGTCTTGAATCCTTGGTTTGCAGATAGAGGCCCAGAAGGGACTCTTCCTATAATCTTCACAAGACTGAAAGTTATGCAGAGTGTGCTTCATTCTGGCAAGATTCTGTCTATGGGCAAACAGCAATAAAGAAGCTACTCTGAGCAATTAATCATGTTCTTTTTGGTTCCATGCACCTCACAGTCAAGCCCCCACATACATAAAATAACAGTCCTGGCTATCCAAGTCTGATGAGGCCAGTGGTGGGATTCAAATATGTGAACAACCGGTTCTCTGGGTGGATGCCGCTTCCGGAAGTCCATTCTGGGCCTGAGCAACAAATAATTAGCTACCAGTTCTGCTGAAGTGGTGCGAACTGGCCGAATCCCACCACTGGATGATGCCCAATAAGGATAATACTAGCAGTATGGTGCTTTCTGATGTTCTACGAACAGTAACCATACAATTGAAAGTTTGCCATTCAGGTATTGTTGGACTCCATCGCATAGCTTAGCATGGCTAGTGGCCAGCTCAGGGCTAATAAGAGTTGTAATAGATGGCTACAGGTTGCCCCTACTTCTTTCACTGAGACATGTGACAATTAGCTTGGTATCATTTCAGTGCAAAATTCTTTTCTTCCCCTAGTTTTTTCATGCCTCAGTTTTTTTGTGGGTTTTTTTTTTTTTTTTTGGTCTCTCTGATGACAGAATGTAATAATACTGCAGTACACAATTACATCTTTTGTTTTCTGGTCACTGAATTTAAAATTGTTTTACTTCATGTTGAGAACCCTTCTGAGAGATTGGCTGTCGTGCTGCTAATAAAATTTAAATAAGAATCAATATGGAAGCTATGAGCTTCCCTGATTAATTATTTCTTCTCCATTCCCCATATTTGTTACCATAAATAAGGCTCTCAAATTAGCTGCAGGTTTGTGAATATTTTGGGATACTTTGGGTAGAAAAGAGAGCCTTAATTGCAGAGAATACGCCTACCAACTAGAATGAGGATGCACACGGATTCAAACCGCGTTTAATATTTTAAAACAGGAGGGGGGACATTGCACCATTTCAGATGATACCAGAGATGCCTCATTTTGGGCAGCAGAGATAAACAGTTGTGAAAGAGAAAGGATGAGCGTCATATACACCTATTCATTTATAGTAGGAAACTAATTAACAAAGCCAAGTTGGAAGCTTTAGTGTTCAGATTCGATTGAGCATGTCTGGAATCTGGGCATAACACAGGTAGAGTCAACTTATAACCGCAGTTATGACCAGAATTTCTGTTGCTAAGCAAGGCAGCTGTTAAATGAATCACACCCAATTTTACATGTTTTTGCCAGAGTTGTTAAGTGAAACCCTGCAGTTGTTAAATGACTCATCTAGTCATTAAGTGAATACAGCTTCCCCCGTTTTCAGAAGCTAGCTGGGAAGGTCGCAAATAGAGATCACATGACTGCAGGGCACTGTGACCATCATAAATACATAACCAAATTTTGGGCCAACTGCCCAAATTTTGATTACTTGAATGTAGGGGTCGAGGCAACAGCTGCATGTGTGAGGACTGGTTATAAGTCCGTTTTCAGTGCCATTATAACTTCAAACAGTTGCTAAACAAATGGCTGTAAGTCAAGGGCTACCTGTAATGTTTTTTTCTCCAATATAGGGCTCGCTAGGTGTTAAAGGTGCCATTGGTCCCCCTGGGCTTCCAGGTCCATCCATTCCTGGCCCACAGGTAAGTATCAAGAATCTTTCTCTCTCCAACTATTTTGATGTTGAATTTTATAACAGCTGCAAGGTTATTACTAGGGCAATATTGGAAGAAAGATTCTTTGCCTACTGTAGAAGATTGGACGCTTAAGGTGTCAAATTTAGCAGAAATCGCAAAAATTTCTGCTTACTTGAAGGATCACTCACAAAAAAGATATATTTTGGTTGGGAGAAGATGGATAGATTATATTCAGAATAAATATGGGATTTAAAAGTTTCATTTAGCCTATGAGTAAACTTTATTAATTAATAGTTTCTTTTTTAATTTTTATTAGTTTTAGTATGGTTTAACAATATTGATTTGTTTATATTAGTATGTTTATTTTTAATTTTTTTATATTTATGTTATAAGGGAGTTATGGACTTGGTTACTTGTATAGTTGGGTAATGTTTTTTTTTAGAGTTTGATTGTTTATTTGTAACCCTGTATTCAGCTCTGGGAAGTGGGAGAGGGGGGAGGGGTGGATGGGTTTTGGGATGTATATTGTATAAAATTTTTCAATTAAAAAAAAAAAGAATCTTTCTCTCCCCCTCGCTTTTGTCTTAAACCCTGGACATTTTAAGCTGGCCACTGTCCAGCCTTGTCCACTTTCTGTAGTTGTAGAAACTCTGGCTGGAATCTTCCAGTTCTTTTCCTGTTTAACAGAGCCTAAGCATGTACAGTAAGTAGGAACAAGCTAGCAAGCTGATGGTGGGTATGTAAAGAGGGGTGATGAGTACGACAGCCAAGGTTTCCGTGCTGGAAATTTGACATCTGTGAGCTGCAGAGGAGGAAAGAAAGAGCTGCCTCTTTCCATCAGAAGCTGAGTGAATGGTTATAGTGGTATGTGAGAATGGCCCTGGCAGACGAATGGAAGAAATGCTGGAAGAAGAAGAGACGGAGGAGCCCACAGACACTCAATGGTCAAAGGAAGAAATTTAGGAAGACCCACCCAATCAATTAACCAGTTCAAACTGAGGGCAGACTTGCAACATTCTGTTAATGCAGACTTATAATAAAGTAGAATTAACTTACCTGGTCGTGTTTTCTGTCTGGTTTACCCAGGAGGGGTGACTATGGTAGAGTTTAAAAGGATCAGTTGTTCAATGGGGGGGGGGAGACAAATGAAAAAACTAAGAGGGAGTCTCGGGCTCTTGGCTCCCTTTCCTCCTGGTATCCCGTGTGGAGAATTGGCTGAGAGTGGCCAAAATGATGCTTCTGGAGCTACTTCTCCAACAGTGTCTTATCCCCTTGCTATATTTCTTTTCAGGGTCCAGAAGGCCAGCAAGGCGTGCCCGGAGTTCCTGGTTCCAATGGTTTAATGGTAGGTAAGCTGCAACTTGAGTTCCTTTGCGGGAAGATTTGTTACAAAACTCCCAAGATCTCTTCTAGTCATCCTCCTGCACACCCTCTTGAATTACCCACAAAGATCTCAAATCGCAAAGCTCTAGCAAGAGATAATCCTACTCCAAAACCCTATTGGATTTCAGAATGGCGTCAGGAAACACTTTTTCTTTGGAAGAGGTTGGCCTACTTGGAAAGCTACTAAAGCACCATTTTTCTAGCCCTTGCCAAACTCTGCAGTTCTTTGGAACAAGCTCCGAAACAAAAGTACAGTGTTTCTTAACAAAACAAACAAACAAAGAATCGGTTTCCTGGAACGACACCCATTTCAGCCTTGACACAACCCAGGTGTGAATATTGGTGCAAACTAGAGTGATCAGCTTTTTCCAGGCCATGAGGCACATGCTCTGAGTTTTGAATAGAAAGCCCAGGTCTATGCTTCCAAAATTAGCAAGGCCAAAAATAGGGGAGCTGGACCAATTTAATTTTACATGAATGTAAATCAAACCCCATTGGATTAATTTAGTACAGGGAGTTTTCTCCTTGTGCCTCATACAAAGATTGCAGCTTTCTAGCAACGTTTAAAGGGACTGTAGAGACCCCACCCCATGCTTTGGGGATCTGGATAGGGCACTTGGATTGCACAATCTTTGGTTTGCACTGCAAAATAAGTCTGACATAACCATGGTTAAACTAGCCAGGTGTCAGAGAGAAAATCAAGTAGAATGCAACATGCCTCCTCATTTGCAAAGCGCAGGCAATTGTTCATGGTGATTGGGAAAGTGCAGCTCAAATGTTCACTGCTGTTCTAATAGCAAGCTGTGTTTCAAAGGCCAGCATACAACACTGGAAAAACAAATTGGATTTGGGCCTTTTTTATTATTTAATAACTTCAGAATGTGATCAGCCACTGAGATAAAGAGTTATTAATTATACATTCTCTCTCACAAGGGGAGACTTTTGACTCTTTCAATCCAAAAACCATTATGCAGGGTCTTCAGAGACCTGTTCTTTGCTTATTAAGTAATTCCAATTGATTTTTGCATGTATCTCGCCTGTTTTTTTTAATGCAGCGATGCTGTTCAGGGGCTGGGTGGAATGTGGATCTGGAGGCACGTCTCTGCTGAAGCCAAGCTAGAGATGGGATTTTCTTTGCTTCTCTGAACTGCAAATGAAAAACTGTAACCTGGCAAGTGTGCCTGCTTGGTGCATCACACTTTAAAAAAAAAAAATAGGCAGAATGGGATTGTACTGTCATGACTTGCCATACTAATTTTCTGACCACACCTTCAGATGCCCTTGTAACCTCCTGAGATGGTGATAATCCAGCCCAAGATGGCTTTCCCACCAGCATGACCTTCTCTATGGATAAAGAGAAGGAAAAAGGACAGGGGAAAGATAACTACATTAAATTGTGTACACATGATATCTCTAGACCAGTGGTTTTCAAACTTGGCAACTGTAAGATATGTGGACTTCAACTCCCAGAATTCCCCAGGCTGGCTGAAGAATTCTAGGAGTTGAAGTCCACATATCTTTAAGTTGCCCCAATTGAGAAACATGGATTGAGAAAGGGCTGAGAGCTCTCTTTGGTGATTTTAGAAAGCTATTTTCTTCTGATGGATGTGTTAGCTCCTTGATTTGACCCAGGAATCAAATCCACGTTTAGATCTGAGAATACAAGTAAGGAAATCATCAGAACAGGAGGGAAAGCCTGCATTTCAAACTAATTGGAGAATGTGATTTATGACCGTAAATTATAGGAGGGAATTGTGCTTTGATACTATGTGTTCAGGGGAGGAGAATCCAGATTTTGGCTTCGACTATGTAAGTGCCGATGCTATGCCACTCGAATAAAGATTCTTTAAGGCAAACAATGCCTCGAAGTTCTTTGAAGAGTTTCATCAGTCGGAGCCATGACACTTTTCTTCAATCACCTAAGAGAGGCAGCTGAAAGAGAGGCATCTTCTTGTCAGGAACTTCTAGCTGCCTACTTGCACAGGCTTTTTCAAGTGAGATGCAGAGCAGGGAGTCTTCCAGGGCCCTTGTTTCCCTATTCCTGATGTAGAGGTTCCTCAGCCTCATTGCCAGTAACTCCAAAGAGTTTGAGAATCAGAGTAAATCTAATGACCTGACTGAACTTGAAATCTGCCCCAGTGAATGATAAATTAATACATTTTGGGCAGAGCGGAGAGTGGGCCTTAGAGAAGGACTAGAAAAGGGGATAGGTCTGACATATGCTGGTCGAGAGACTGAGTCAAGGCAACTTTGCAAGATTTCAGGATTGGTTCCGAATCTCATCTGATAATGATCTCAGTGACTTTTTTAATATCAACACCATGATGAACCCATGACTGATTTTGTTTTCTTTCCTTTTCTGTTTTTTGTCTAGGGTGAAAGAGGTGCCAAAGGCGAGAAGGTGGGTCAGCCTACTCATCATATTACACCTTCAGTTTGGGGCATCTGTTTGCTTTTAACCTTAATTTTGAGGGCCTTAGATGCCATCGGTGTTGTTTTATACAAACCCCTCACTTTGGTTCACACACCAAGCCAAACCTTCATCAGCAAAGGATGCCCTCTTCCCCACTCCTGTACACAATAAGTACTTGAAGACCGCATACCTGTTTTTTATCTTCCCAGGGAGATTCTGGTGAATGCACCTGCCAGCCTGGCTCTCGCCCGGACACAGGCCATGGTCTTCCGGTAAGCGTCGCCCCACACTCCCGCTTCCCCACAGCCCTGGGGATTTGCTGCCAGGCTGGATGAGAGTTCAAGCCTCCCGTACCCCATTCTTCGCTCAACTGCTCAACGCCTTTGTTGCTCCGGAACCTGGAACCCATGTCCTGCTTGGCCTTTGCTAAATGCTCTCCCCTTTTGGACCCACAGGGCGCTCCGGGACTGTGGATCGGGAATCCCTGGCAGCCTCAGCCAGGCCCTCAGGTGTGTGTGTGGGTGTATGTGCATGCTTGCTCCTCCGTATGTGGCGACTTTGGCTCCTCAATCCTGGGATTGGTTCCATGCTCTCTGAAGAGCCTTTTCTATCACTTTTTTTCTTTTAATTTGCGGCTCACAGGGACCTCCAGGTGCTCCAGGACCCCCAGGCCCACCAGGAGCCCCGGGAATTCAGGTAAGTGATTGGAAGAGAAGATTTGCTACTCTCTGACAGACAGGAACAAAGGTACAAATTATCATTATTATCACCTTTGGAACTGAGGAGGCCTTGTGGACATAGCACAACTTCAGTGGTCCACATTAAAGTCAGAAAACTATCCCTGATGCTCTTGGCTGCACAAAATCCCAGTCAGTAGCATTTAAACCAGTCTTAGCTGAATTCTAGCCCTCCAGATGTTCTTGTTCCACAACTTCCTTTATTCCTGACCATCAGCTGTTTTAGCTGCACCTGATGGGAGCTAGAGGACAATCACATCTGGAGGACCACCATTTTCACCCAACAGTGCTTTGAAGAGATAGGTTACATAGGAGATTTCTCATCAAGCTCCTAGTTGCAAGATTTCAGAATCAACTTTAACCAGATTGAAGAGAAAAGGAATTTGGTTTCAGAAAAGTTAGCAATTGGATACTTTTATGTTTAACACCCAATTTCTTTTGCTAAATGTTCATTGGCCCAACGAGGGGGCTACCAGTTTTGTTGATAAAAGAAGACTGTGCAGACATCTGTGCTAATAATAATATTTTGCAAATGGCCAACCTATTTCTCAGGCTCTGAAAAACCCAGTACAATACTGCTGCCATGATTTTTTTTTTCTACAAGACACCCTTTCATTGGAATGATTCATAATGGACAAGTGGTATTCTCCAGCAATCAATAATGCCTTTGGTGGGACAAACATATTGAGAGTGCTGTTCCTTCTCAATCATTCCTGGTCAGTTCAGGAATACTGGTCTGAAAATAACTGGACAGACCAGCTCTTCTCTTCACCAAGAAACAGCAGAACAATTGACTAACGGTATGGAGGGAAAGCAGTAAGTGAACAAACAACAGATATGTTTTCAACTATAGTCCTTTGGGTTCTCCTCATCCCCATGACAGCTACAAATCTAAACTTTAGCGGGATAGTATTAAGATCACATGAACTGTAATACACTTTATACTGCAGTATATGGTATAGTATACACTATATACTGCCTTGGTAAGACCACATTTTGAATACTGCATCCAATTCTTGTCACCACGATACAAAAAAATATGTTGAGACTCTAGAAAGAGTACAGAGAAGAGCAGCAAAGTTGATTAGGGGCCTGGTGGATAAAGCATATGATGAATAGTTGGAGGAATTGGGTATGTCTAGTCCAGGGGTAGGCAATCTTGGGTCTTTTATGACTCGTGGACTTCAACTCCCAGAATTCCTGAGCCAGCATGGCTCAGCTTGGAAACCTTTCCCTTTCCCCTCCGCATGGCTGGCTCAGGAATTCTGGGAGTTGAAGTCCACGAGTCATAAAACAACCCAGGTTACCCACCCCTGGTCTAGTCTAACAAAGGGATGATTGATGTGACATGATAACAGTCTTCCAATATTTGAGCAGTTGCCACAAAGAGGGAGTCCACCTATTCTTAACCTGAGGGCAGGACAAGAAGTAATGGATTGGAAGCTTATCAAAGAGAGATCCAACCTAGAATTGAGGACAAATTTCCTCACAGTGAGAATAATCTAGAAGTTATGGGGCTTTTAACAAGAGATTAGACAGCCATGTGTCCCGACTGGGTATGTGGTCTCCAGCTCAAGAAGAAAGTTGGACTGGAAGACCTCCAAGGTCTCTTACAACTCTGTTATCTGTGTTCTCCTTCCCACCGTCCTTCCGGTACTCTGCCATTGCAGCTCACTTCACAGTCAAAAACAATATTTTGTTCTTTCTTCGCAGCCACAATGGACAAAGTCATGATGAAACACAGAGAAGGCTGAGGAAAATCACCCCCCCCAAAAAAATCCAGAAAGTAGCTTTCTGACTCTCAAATAATCATTTGTGCAAACCACACTGGTTTTCCATGCAAAGTCAGGCTGCCAGGTTTTGCCAAAGAAATTGCTAGAAGGCTGGAAAGTACAAAATGGGAAGCTGAGGGCTGGCCAAATGCAAAGAGACAAAGGAAAGAAACATTTCCTTTGTCTCATGTAACCCTGTGCAGCATCATGTTAAATGTCAGCCAATCTTGGGAAACAGTGAAATATAATACATCTTGTAAATGTAATATTATGTTACCCCTGGAGATCCTGGCCCAGCACAGGAAATCAGGAGAGACGTTCCTTCTGCTTGGTGCCACTTTAGGTACTATCAGCAGCCAAGTAAGTATATTGGAAAGAAAAGAGAGATATTTTTTTAAAGATCGATGGCTAGAGTTATAGAAGCCAAGTGGACGATATGTATGTACAGTAGGATGGAAGACTGAAGGAATTTAGAAGATTGGAAGACTTGATGTTGCCTTCTGCAAAACTTCAGACAACCACTAGGGGAAGGCTAAGAAATAAAGCAAATGCCACTCTTTGCTGCCACTTTGTGGTCTTCTAAATTTTTGCAGACTAGCTATGAGACCCCTATCTCATTGGCTCAAAGAAATTTCCCAAGATATAAGAGAATTGTGTCAATTCATTTTCCAATAGGGATTATAATTATCCCTTATGGATGTTCCCCAATTCCTGTCCATGGCTAAAGGCAGTCAAAACACCTTTTGCTTTAAGATGGTTCAGGTAACTCTAAACAAACATCTTTAGAGATGATATATTAAAAAGGGGAAATCTTTTCTGGATCTTGCCATGAGCTGGACAAGAACATCAGTGTAAGAAAGAGGAGCAGACAATCAAAAAATAGTCTTTGCCATTTGGCACCATTGATGTATCTGATGGATGGTGTCGGTAGATATTGATCAAACTTCCAACTCAATTAAAAGCGTTCCCAAATCTGATTAATAGAGGAGAAGGTCCTATCAAGCCCTAAAAAGGATTTTTTTTATTTGAACAGGCAGATTTGAGTTCAGTTTTAGGGCCAAGACATTTTTCATACACTTCCAAATATTTATCCTGTATCTCAGAAAGCTGGGCATCATAAATCATGAGGAATCAAACCAAGGAAAGAATAGAGGGGAGTGGGAAAAAAAGAGATAAAGAGAATCGGATTCCCTATAATTTGACAGGAGTGAAATTTCAAAATTGGGTGAAGGGAGACTTTTGTCTGTCCAACTTGGGTTCTCCTCAGAGGTAGAAGTTATAGAGACATGGGAGTTCACCACTACTGCTATATCTCCAGTAGTTCCTCTTCTTCTACACCAGTGTTTCCCATATTTGACAATTTTAAGGCATGTGGACTTCAACTCCCAGAATTCCACAGCCAGCGTTGCTGGCTGTGGAATTCTGGGACTTGAAGTCCTCATGCCTTAAAATTGTCAAGTTTGGGAAACACTGTTCTACACCACCAGAGCCCGGTCTTTTTAGGAAAATGGCTGGAAAAATAGGTGAAGGATCTGGAAAAACACGGAGGGGAAAGTTTTGGTAGGTGTTAGGTGAAGGGGCACAGGACCTTGAATCCCATTGGGTGGCAACAGGATTCCTTTGAAAGACAGCAGTCAGGGAGGACTCACATATTCAAAGTTTCTCCTTGCCTTTAGGGCATCCCAGGAATCAATGGCTTGTCGGGACTACCTGGGCCACCGGGTGAATGGGTAGGTAGAGGACTGCAGCGTCCGCTATTCCTTGCGCTTGCTCAGGCTGACCGCTGTCCTTTTTGTGCTGCCATCTTCCATAGTGCAGAAGAGCATCCAAAGCCAAGCAAAAAAAAAAAAAAAAAAAAGCAGAGCAACATCCATCAAGAACTGGTTAGGAACTCACACTGCTTTGGGCAAGCAACCCTAGAAGCTCATAACTCCATTGTGCTTTTTTTTTTTTCTCCTATGAAAGAAACCAAAACTAGAACTACTTTTTTTCCATGCACCTTTATTTCTTTTGCTCCATCTCTCTATTGCAGGATTCACAATCACTAGTGGGACCTACTGTAACACAGGTAGGACAATCATCACCATCATCATGATGCTTCTTTTGTGTAGTACAGATGATACTTGAACTATGACTGCAATTAGCAATAGCATGTAAACCCTTTCACAGTGCTTTACAGCCCTCTCTGGGCGGTTTATAGAGTCAGCACATTGCCCCCAACAATCTGAGTCCTCATTTTACTGAAGGAAGGATGGAAAGCTGAGTCAACATTGAGCTGGTCAGGATCAAACTGCTGGTGGTTGGCAGAGTTAGCCTGCAATACTGCATTCTAACTAGTGCACTGCCACTGCTCTGAGTCAAAAGTCATTGAGGTCATTCAATTGGTCACCATGTAATGAGACCCAATATTATGATTTTTTTTCTGTGATGGTCCTTAAGTGAACACTACGCTTGTTAAGCAAATCCACTATATCAATTGGCACTCTTTGCTAGAAATTAAAAGTAAACATCAGAAACCAGGAACAAAAAACATCAAAAATCTCGTCGTGTCACTGTGGGACCCTGGAAATAGCTGTAAAGGTGAGCTGGTTGCCAAACACCAAAAATGTGACCATGGGGAGGTGTGAGTGGCCGCTGAAACTTCAAAATTAGGTGATTATGAGGGCTCTGTCATAACTTTGAATAGCCATTAAGGGACCAGTCATAAGTCAAGGACTGCCTGCAATGCAAAAATTCAGTCCTGAATTTCCTTATATGGAAATGATTATACTCCCAAAAGTTGTATTATTTATTTGATTGATTGATTGATTGATTGATTGGAGAGGGGTTTCCAGAAAAGTCATCCTGTCTCAGGTTCCAATCATTAAATCTGTGTTATATTCAGTGGTGGGATTCAGCCAGTTCACACCACTTCGGCAGAACTGGTAGCTAATTTTTTGTTGCCCAGGCCCAGAATGGACTTCCCAGAAGCGGCATCCACACACAGAACCAGTTGTTCCTGTATTTGAATCCCACCACTGGTTATATTCTTCAACTGATTCTAAACACTGATCCCAGTAACTGGGATCATGGAGGAACATGGGAAATTATTGATTTATCAAGGGTTCAGAGAAACTGGAATTGCATAGAAAAGGGTAAGAATGATAATCAGAAGATTGGAAACTAAGTCTAATAGAGATACTGGGAGTTTTCCTTGAGAATAAAACGAATAAGCAGGAGATATAATAATGATGCTCTGAGTTTCTTAATCTTGGCAACATTAAAATATGTGGACTTCAACTCCCAGAATTCCCCAGCCAGCATGGATGGCTGGGGAATTCTGGAAGCTGAAGTCCACATATCTTAAAATTGCTAAGGTTGAGAAACAACAATAGCAGTCTTGAAATCCTCTAAAGCAAAACATAATCCTGACCAAGGCTGTATAGCTATATGCATAAAGGCTGTATAACTTCATCCAAGTATTATAGAGCATTATAGATTATTATAAAGAATATTACAAAGCTGAATTGCATTAGAAAGGTACAAATGGCTGAAAGACAATAGAAATTGCTCGTGTGAAAATGTGACCCCATTCTCTATGATTTCAGAAGACAGAATGTAGACTGATACTAAGAGTTGCCTTATTGGGGAGATGGGTGGTATACAAATTAAATTAAAGGAATAAATAAGATCAAGCAAAATTCAGCTTTATATGAAGAAATATTTCCAGTCAGAAGAACAATTCGCTAGTGGAGTCAGTTATTAAAAGAGGTAGTAGGACTGTCCTTCATCCAGCAGGTTCAAGTATACATTGGATGGTTATCCATCACGGATGCTTTAATTTAGATTTTTCTAAACCTGAGAGAGAAGGTTGGACTCAAAGGTCCTTCCAGAACGAGGCATATATCTATGCTATCACTCTGCCTGATCCAGCTTACTGTATGTCTTTAGATGAGAAACATTCTTATTGCACAAGGTAAACCTTACCAGACTTACAACCTTTCTCTTCTCTCATAGGAGAACCCCTGTGAAACCTGCAACTCCCAAGGCTCTAACGGGATAAAAGGAGAAAAAGGAGATCGGGGCCAACCTGGAGCTCCGGGCATAGATAACTGTGCAGACGTGAGTTACCTGTGAATCTCTTCAGCCACAAAAGCAGGCTGCAAAATCAGTAACCTTGCAACAGTGTCCTTCTGTAATGCCCACGCTTTCAATCATTTTGTAGTCACGTTGCATGTGTGATGGAATCTCCAGCTAGCTTGGAGAGGGCGGTGTTAAGAGGGGGCCAAGCTTAGAATCCTTGCGCTACCAGAAAGCAGCACAGGCCTGACCTTCCCCAAAATGCCTGAAGTCAAGGACTACCTGTAATGAATTTTCTTTATTTCTGGGATCCTAATAAAAGGTAGTGCATGACCACAGCGGAGCCCAAAATCTCTGTTGTTAAGTGAGTTTTGCCCCATTTTAAGTGAATCACTGCAGCTGTTAAGTTAGGAACGTAGTTGCTAAGTTGAATCTGGCTTCCCTGTTGACTTCACTTGTCATAAGTTCAAAAACAGGGGATCACATGACCCCTACAATCATCTTAAATACATTCCAGTTGCCAAGCTTCCGAATGTTTATTATGTGGACATGGGGATGCAAAGATCACAAATGTGAAAAAAATAGTCATGAGACACTTTTTTCAGTATCACTGTAACTTTGAATGGTCTCTAAGCAAATGGTTGTGAGTTGAGAACAAGATTGTGCAAGATTCTACCCTTTTCTGCCCATTCAGTCCCAATACATCCCTCATATTGCTATACCTAGAGGTGTATGTTGGCACCTGTTTTTCATACAAGTGAAAGTTTAGCATTGTTTGGGCAAGAGTATAGCAATTTTTTGAACTTTTTCCCAAATCCATAATATTCACATGTGGGTAATATCATAGTTCTGACAGATGAAACTCTTCAAAAAACTTCTAGGCATTGTTTACCTTAAATAATCTTTATTAGAGAAGCATAGCATCGGCACTAACATAACTGAAGCCAAAAACTGGATTCCCTTCCCTTGGGCACATAGTATCAAAGCACAATTCCCTCCTTCAATTAACAGTCATAAATCACATTCTCCAATTAGTTTGAATTGCAGGCTTTCCCTCCTGTTCTGCTACCCGCCAATTCTTATCATCTCTTATTTCAAGCTCTGAATTCACACACTAGTACAATATTGTTAACTCCCACCACATTCCGCCTCCTCCCCCAGCATCAACTAATTCTAAGAGTAAAGCATAAGAAAGAAAAAGGCTGCATCTTCATATGTTGTCAAAGCAAGAACCTCCAATGTTAGCAGCGTTGACAGGTTACTTAAAGAAATGCAATCCATTACAACCCATCTTGGTTTTTTAGATCTTGTATAGCAGGGGGCATTGCCCAATTGCAGTTGACTGATCTCAAAAGCTAAGCAAGGTTTGCTTTGGTTAATATTTGGCTGGGAGGGATGCCAAAACCCTAGACTGAATGATAGATAATGAATTTTAAAAAAAAATCCAGTAAAAGAGTAGCAAAGTATTTCTGTATCCTTCCCAAATAAGCTATTAGATATACCCAGCAGTCATGAGAAGCTGAGTTCCAGTTAAGGACTGCTTGATTTAACACACTGAGTTTTCCCAACCAACTGAATCATATTGGGGATACTGTATCTCCATCAGTTTCACTGATCTGAGCAATTCATTTCTGTGATTCCATTAATATATCCAGGTGTCAAGTGTTAATTGGCGAATTCAGAAAAAGAAACTCCTGGGACATAATTTTACCAAGAGTATAAACTTTACTGAATAAATCCAGTTTTGGTCACCACAATGTTAAAAAGATGCTGAGACTCTAGAAAGAGTACAGAGAAGAGCAACAAGACTGGAGGCTAAAACTTATAAGGAAGAGTTGCTGGAATTGGGTATGTCTAGTTTAATGAAGGGAAGGATGAGGGGGGGACATGATAGCAGTCTTCCAATCTCTCAGGGGTTCCCCCAAAGAAGAGGGAGTCAAGCTATTCTCCAAAGCGCCTGAAGGCAGGACAAGAAGCAACAGTTGGAAACTAATCAAGGAGAGAAGCAACCTGGAATTAAGGAGAAACTTCCTGACAGTTAGAACAATTAACCAGTGGAACAAGCTGCCTCCAGAAGCGGTGAATGCTCCAACACTGGAAGTGTTTAAGAAGAGACTGGACAACCATTTGTCCGAAATGGTGTAGGGTTTCCTGCCTGAGCAGGGGGTTGGACTCGATGACCTCCAAGGTCCCTTCCAATTTTATTATGGATCATCGCACAGTCAACCAGATGTTCAGACTGGATTTGGCATTTTGTCTACCTATCGAGTCCTTACCCAGGACCTGGGATAGGCAGATGTGGATGTTTGATGGTATTACAGATATCATTAACCCATATTGGCACAGAAGAAGCAAAACCAGCTCTGGGGTTCCCATAGTTCACCCCCCCCCTTTCTCCACGGGCCACCCACAGTCCGTTACATCCACTAATCACTTCTGTTCATTTCATTATGGGAACCAGCCAGCCATGCTCTGACATCTGCTCTGGGTGTCCTTGATGGGGGGGGAGCAATGTTTCACGGGAACCAGCGATGAATGGATGCCACTCCCCCCCCCCATCCTTGCATTCCAATCCACCACCACCCTTTTCTCTCTCAAGCTGTGAGCAAAGCAGAATATAGGTGAAAGGTTTGAGTCAGTCTTGATACCAGGTCTCATGTGCTGCCATATATCACAAAGGGGAACAAGTCTAAGCGCAATGCCTGGTCCACAATTTATACCTTACCATCTTAGGGATGATCATAAGGAGTCCTGGAGCATGCTCCTCAGTTGCCAATTGCTTTATTGGCATCCTGGAAAATATATCTGCTCAAAGGAAAACTTGAGCTGGATTCTTCAATTGAACTAGTCCTGAATTTGATCAAGCAAATTTGGTATCTGCAGAACCTTAGTGGTAAAGCAGGCTGTAAATTCTGGAATAGGAATTAAACTCATGAAATGTTTCTTCTACTTTCAGTGCCACCGTCAGCACCCTGCAGACCAGACCCAGGTGAGTAAATCTCTAGGCTGGATATTCATCCAGAAGGCGGCAGAGGAAAGAGAAAGACATAACAAATTGGTATCACTTCATTTCTACCAAGTAGTATGCAAAAACACATCCACTTCTTTGGCAAATTTGACTAGGAGCTCATGTGCTGCTGTACTTGACCCAACTGGCACCATTTATTTACAACTGAGAGCTTCCATCCTCAGGAATCAATTCTCACTGGAATTATACTGGGAATTTGATTGGTATAAAAGCATGCCTTTTGCATCGGCCTTTGCGAAGCTGGTTTAAGTATTAGTCCTTCAGGCAAAACTGGACTGCTGCTTAGATAGACATTTCAATGGTTGTTGTTTTTAAAGGATATTGGTCAATCACATTTCTGAGGCTCTGTGTTTTAATTGTGATCTTAAGTTGGATAGGAGTGAGTTATTGTATCAATTCTTCATTCTGTTGATACCATATATTATTATTATTATTATTATGGATCATCACAAAGTCAGATTATTATTATTATTATTAATCATTGCACAGTCAGCCAGATGTTCAGACTAGATTTGGCATTTTTGTCTATCGAGTCCTTCCCAAGGACCTGGGATAGGCAGATGTGGATGTTTGATGGTATTACAGATATCGTCGCAGGATGGAAGCAGTTCCTAGTAAGGCCACCTTTTGCAATTGACTAATGGCAAATTTGTCAGTGCCAATGGTGTTCAAGTGATGCTCCAGTTGTTTTGGGATTACAGCCAAGGCGCCTATTACTATTGGTACTATCCTTGCTTGCTTTTGCCACAGTCTTTCTATTTCTATTTGTAGGTCTTTGTATTTTGTTATCTTCTCCAGTTCTTTCTCGTCTATTCTGCTGTCTCCAAGCACTGCCACATCCACTATCCAGACTTTTTTGTCGACAATTGTTAAGTCCAGGTTATGTTGCAGGTGTTTGTCTGTTTGAATTCTGAAGTCCCAGAGCAGTTTAATTTTATCATTTTCTATGACTTTCTCTATTTTATGATCATTATTATTATTGCTTTTGTTATTATTATTATTATTAACTGTGTCTAGCTATCAGCTATCAGCACTACAACAACTATCTGGGAGCTGAAGTCCACAAGTCTTAAAGTTGTCAAGGTTGCAGATCCCTGCTCTACAGTATATGGTTCAGTTAAGCAAGAGTTTTGAGTGTTATTGCAATCTAGGTGCCTGGCAAGTGCATTTTCTATTTAAGAAAAGTGGGGTGGGAGGTTGGCTACCTAACAATCTCCTGGTGTGGCATCTAGCCTGGCCTTCAGAATAGTTCTAAGCCTAGAAATATTGTGTTTGTACTGAACAAGGCATGTAAATATACAATGTAAATCAGCCCTGACAAAATTCACTCACACCATTTACTCTGGGCCAAGAGAAATGGAGGGTCCTCTACTGAATCCTGTTCACTCATGCAATCAGCCAGGGGTTCTGGCATTCTGTTCCACCAAAGATTGGTCCCAAAAAAATCTCATTTGACTCCTTCTTAAGTCGTGGAATCTTATCCCTGGCAATCCCCAGTCTTAATCCATGGCTATCCAGCAGTCAGTTAAATGAGATTTCAAGCAAACAATGGATGTTTGTAGGTAGGGTGGAAATCCAGATTTGGATGGAGACAGTTTTAATGGGGAGAGTGCTTCATCCTCAAGATTTAATCTTAAATAGTATTTATGTTTGGCCTTTTGGAAAGCTTTAGAGTGAGTAGAAGCCTGGAACGAGGGAGAAATCTGTCAGGAAACGGTGACCATTAGAATTATTAACTACTTGGAAAAAACAGAACGAGACATCTTGTCTTCTCTTCCAGTCCGACAACAATGATCCTGATTGTGCTGGAGGACATCCTGGAAGCCCTGGCTATCCTGGACAGAGAGGCGAGCAGGTAAAGCCATTTGGAGAGATCAAGCAGCCATGATGGTATTGCAGATCCTTGAATTCAGAAATGAATGTTGTCTTGCCTTCTCCTTAGGGTCCACCAGGCTTAAGAGGTTCTCCAGGCCCTCCTGGACCAACTGTGAGTATATCCTTCATGCCAACTTCTGCTTAGATCTTCTCCCGTAAGCCTTTACCACCACCACCACCACCACACCACGTGTTAGTATAATCTGATGCCTGTCTAAGAAGATAAAGCCAAATTAAGGCCAGCTTTCCCCTCAGTGTGTGATCCATGGGGAACATTATGCTTGTACAACTGGACAGGGTTCAGTTGGGTGGCTACCATCCATGCTCTTCACCAGCCACCCAGCCAATTCTGGTCCCACCAATGTCCTGTTTATCCCCCCCCCCCAGGAAGGGAGGGATGAGCCACTGTTTCTTCTCTTGACAGCTGTTTGGAGGAGTAGAACTTGAAAGTTTACTTTTGAATTAAGAAATGCATAAAATTTTGTGAAAGATTGGCCTTCTCTTCAACCATAGCTTCCTTGTTTGCCTGCTTTCCCTAGTCCAGCCAATATGATGACTGAGTGATGACCTCCCTGTTTCTTCCTGTAGGGCCCCCCAGGTTTTCCGGGAGTGCCTGGCCCACCTGGATTACCTGTAAGAACCGATAAAGCACGCGCTCTGTGCAGTCCTTTGTTGCTGCTGTTTGTTTGGCTTCTCATCCTACTTCCTCCCTTCTTCTCCAGGTTCTGGGTCTAATATCTCAGCCAGCCTACTCTCCCACATGCTGCCACTTGGTCTGTAGCTCTTCCTCAGCATTCCTCCTCCTGGCTCAGGGATGCTATCTAGAACTTTTCCTTCAATTAGCTCTTTCCCTTCCAAAGTTACCTGAGATCAGTGGTGATATAAAGCTGTCTAGTTCCCACAGGCAACACGGGGTTCACTTGATCTAGAGAATGCCCATTTAAGGGCGAGCTCTCAGTCGGGATCCTTCTTCAGCCTTCCCTCAGAAAAGTAAACTAGAAGATTCCACAATCCCAACTTGTGATATGGGTATTCTGGGTTCGGGACAATTTATCAGGCAGTGAGAAGACTGATTACTTCTAGACAGCTGATATTTCTCCCCAAAGATATTTCACATAAAGCTGATTCCAACACACAATTTTTCCCTCAGGGCTTAGCTTATCAGTCAAACCCTAGTCATGAATATCTACTGAGCTGAATCCCTTCAGAAGAAGCAGCTGGACCCAGGTTCAAATACATACCTGAGAAAGAATCTGTGGACTTGAGAGGAAGCTGTCACTTTTCTTAACTAAAGAGCCTCCATTGTCATGTCTGTGAGTTGTGCTTTGGGGTCTTGAAGCAGTCATTGTACCCTCACTTGACTATCACCACCATTCATTAATTTCCTAATTCTCATCTCACTAATGACATTGTAACTCCCAGTCTGTGTGATTAATCGCTCCGTGATGTGGCCCTGTCACTGTCTGGTGTCAAGAGTATGTCCAATAAATGCCATCACCATGTAACCTCAACTAACTCCACCCTGCAATGGCTCGTGAAAGCCTCCCACATTTGTGGGTGATGTAATTAATGGAGATTCACTCTTGTATTATAGGTTGTGTAGATCTTTCTGCACTTAGCAAGCAATTATAGTTGAGGGATGCTTGTGATGTGGGATGTCTGGATACTAAAGAGTCTCTGGAGACATCTCCATTGACTGGATGAATGCGCAAACTGGGTCCTACAAGCAATCATGTCAACCGCAAGCATTGTTTTCTCTGACAGTCACCAGAAGTTCTTAGGGGAGATGGCAAATTGGGGTAGTCCTTGCATTTAGTAGGAAAATTCAGAATCTCTTTGGATCTACAGATGAGGAAGTAGAACTGAAGCCTTTCATGGCTGAACTTCTTCAGGGCGCAAAGGGGAATGAATACAATGTTGGCCAAAATGCTTCCATTTCCAATGGTTTAGCAAGAAAAGTATAAGTCATTTTCTGTCTTGGTGCTGCAGGTAGAAAGACTGTCCAATTTTCCTAGTTTGACTATCTGCAAGTAAGAAAAACAGTCTCAGCCCTCAAATCCTTTCATTGTTAATTGGCACATCAAAATATGAAAATAGAAAAGACATCTGTAGGCAGCCTTTGTAAAAAAAACAGTATTTCATAATTGTGGTGCAGAAAAAAAACACACCTTAAGTTAGTAAAAAGTGATTGCCTCCTCCCCTTCAATTGCATTCTTCAGTTACACAATGAAAAACCATATTCTAGAAGGATTTTGGGAATATTTGATGCCGTGATAAAACAAAACTCCATTCCTCCCTGACACAACCATTTTTTTCCTACAATAAACTTATGGCATGAATTATTTGCTGACTCTATTAGTGGATCCAGTTCCAGGCCTTGGACCCAAACTGACTGGTATCCAGGATGAACCATCATAAGAAAAAGGAGGGGAGAATTATCAAAATATAATTGTCTTCCAGATAAGTCAATGGGGTGTGGTCAAAAAAGTAAACTTCAGGCCATAATAATGCAATCAAAGCCCCATAATATATATTTTTTTTACATGTGTCTCATGGTTGTGTCTTTTTGACCCACGCTGAAGAAATCTTGCCTTCTTCAGCCTTTTGCTCAACATAAAAATGGGTGTTTCCTAAAGAAATAACATCTTGCATCATTTTTGATCCATCTATTTTTGCTAACTTTTTCATGGTTCATATCTTCAGTCAGAACTTGGTCCTATGTTACAGCCTATTTTCTAATTCTGTCCTTTTAGTGATGCTTCACATGTAGTCCTCATGGTCCTGTCATGATCACAGAGGAAGGAGCTGGGTGAAGGGCAGAGCCTCTGAAGGAAAGAATTTATCCAGCATCAGAGGAAAAATTATTATATAGTGGAAGGACCAGATGGAAGTTGGTGAAGAAAATTAGTGATTGTGCACTTACAATATTAGAATGACAGAAAGAAAGAAAGAAAGAAAGAAAGAAAGAAAGAAAGAAAGAAAGAAAGAAAGAAAGAAAGAGGTGGATGGATGATAGGTATGTAGGTAGATTATCTAAATCAATCGGTCAATATTATAGTCAGAGACCAACAAAATCTATCTACCTTTGATGTTTGTGTGTGTGTGTGTGTGTGTGTGTGTGTGAGAGAGAGAGAGAGAGAGAGAGAGAGAGACATTGATAAATGATAGATCAATGTAGATGATAGATAGATAGATAGATAGATAGATAGATAGATAGATAGATAGATAGATAGATAGATAGATAGATTTCTCTGAGAGAAATTTTGTACTAGATTGCAACCTAAGATTGAGTCCATTATTTTCTGTTGGAACTAGTCATCAGTTCCCATTGAATTATGAATTATAGCTGAATTGTGACTTTAATCTGAAATTGTTGGCCACGATCAGTAATGGAGACTGAAGTGGAATCTAATCAGATTCAATGGTTCTTGTGTAAGTAGTAAAGAGAAGAAAACAGTGAAATAATCTGATAACGAATTCATCTTCTCTAGAGGTTCCAAGATGCTAATGCAGGAAATGTAACAGCCACATAATACCACTCATTTTGTCTTGGAATTTAGATGTACACACTAAACATTTGAAGATATTTTTTTTTCTGCACCACATGCTGCCATGAATATTCACAGAAAGCTTTTCCTAGATCCCAAGAAGACATCCAGAGTTAGTCCTTTTCATCTAGCAAGGTTTCGGAAAGTGCTTTGTGGGGATTGGGATCTGTCTTCAGGGGACAATTCAGACCTTATACAGGTGGCCTTCGCTTACCTTGATTATCTCATTTAATGCCCATTCAATATTACAGCACTGTAAAAAATAACTTTATGGCCAATCCTCGCATTGAATCACCACTGCAGCCTCCTGCAGTCACGTGATTGCCATTTGGATGCTTTGCAACCAGCTTGCAATTAGAGTTAATAGAGATGGCAGAAATAAAATTGTAAGTGCAATCATGTGGCGATTTGCTTAGCAACTGAAGCGCTAACGGAGTCTGAATTTTGGGCACTAAGCGAGGACTACCTGTATTTGGAACAAAATGTGTGTGGAGGGGTGTTTTGTGTGTGAGAGAGAGAGAGAGAGAGAGAGAGAACATTTGCAAATATTCTGTCCTCTAGATATTGCCCAGATCATGATCCAAACCCATTTTTATTGTGCCTTGTCTCAATTAGCAATGTTGTGTGTGCTCAGAATTGTTGCTGCAAACACTGCCCTTCTAAAACCTGGCTAATCGGGTGTCTAACCAATAAAATCTGTGTGAATTTTATTGATCTATAAGCCTAGAAAAAGCTATGGAAAACTGTGTTCCAGATGCTGATGGTAGCTTTCCAGGCACCAGTGATTAATTAAAGAAGTGGTGACTACCTCAAGACTACTTATGCTGTATTCCTCTTTCTATAACTTATTCTCCATCTGTTCCCAGCCTGTTCCCAGGTACATAGCTAGAGAGGCCAGCCTCGCAACTGTGGTTCAGTTAAATGGAAGGGCAGAAGACGTGAAACATATCCTGTCTCTTTTTTCTTTCCGAAGGGACTCCAGGGCGAACGTGGGCCAATTGGAATCCATGGATCCAAGGGAGAGCCAGTGAGTGTTGGATCCAACTGATAATTTCAGAGAAGCCTTGAGCTATGCATGGAGCTTGTTGATTGAGACCGGGGCTCTCCAGCGTGGCTCTCTACAGATCAATTGAGACTGCAATTTGTCTGTAAGATGCTAGGTTGAGAAAGACAGGTCTGAAACTCTTCAATTGCACGGCTTAGAAGAGTGATGAAAAGTCTCATGGATGGATGCCGTTGGGACTGATTGAGAACACTTCGGTGTGATCATGAGTCTGAATGCCTCAAATAACAAGTTACAGATGATTTGAAGCAGGAGCTGGAATGCCCAGATACTTTTTTTTTTTAAGCGGGTGATGGAAAATCTGAAAAGTATTTCCCTTGTAATCAACCACAAACAGATGATATCAGATCTGGAAAAACCTATAATTAGAGGAGCATCCCACTGTTGTTGGGCCCCTTCTATCTCTGATTTAAATGAGTTAAATAGATTCTTCTAATTAGCACTAACAAGTAAATGGAGAACTCTAGAGGGATTTATTTCCTTTGAAGATGCCACGAAAGTGACAATATTCCATTGAGTTCTTTCAAAGGGTCCCTGTCTGCCTAGAGGGGGGCAAAAAAATCAAACAAGAATGCTAGTGAAAGTTGGAAGGGAAGACATTTAAATGGGTTGGTGAAGAACATCTCCTTGTCTTCTGCGAAGTGAGGACGTTGTAACTAGCCACATTCGAAAGAGAAATTATTTTGTGAAAACACTTGCGACATGCTATCAAAATACCCAATCATCCCCAAAGACTTAACCCTCCTGATTTAAAGTGATGGCTTCAGTCTGCTTAATGATAGGGAGGCAAGGCCAGGTAAGCCAGGAAAGGTCTATAGAATGTCTTAGCATGCTTAAGCTTGTTACTGAATTAATCTGCTTAGAGTTTGCATAGTAGGAACTATGAGCTGAGTAACACCACCTACTGCCCCCAACTCCCCTGAAATAAAAGCTTAATGTGTTGCATCAGAGTAGCCGGCAATTTTGCTGCTGATTTAGTTAAGCCTATCATCTGAACATAGTAGCTACACAGTGTACACATCTAGAGAGGTTTCATGCATTCAGGGCTCCCTTTTCCATGCTACAGTAATCTCTCTCTCTCTCTCTCTCTCTCTCTCTCTCTCTCTCTCTCTCTCTCTCTCTCTCTCTCTCTCTCTCTCTCTCTCTCTCCTCCCTCCCTCCCTCCCTCCCTCCCTCTCTCTCTCTCTCTCTCTCTCTCTCCCTTAATTTGGTATTTCTCAATCTTAGCCACTAGCTGGGGCCAGTAGTTTCCCTTCCTAGCTGGGGAATTCTGGGAACTGAAGTTCACACACCTTAAAGTGGCCAAGTGGTTGAAAAACATTGCCTTAGTTCCATGACTGCAATTTTAATCTAAGAAATTCTTAGGTTTAATTTAATCTAGATCTAAGAAAGTCTAATCTGGTTGGAATCCTCATTTGATCTATAAGGTTGAAGGAGAAGACAATGGCTACCCACCCCTTTATTATTCGGAACGAGGACCTGATAAGATGACCAAGAAGTACTTTAGGGCCACCACTTCGTGTTCTAGGAAATTGAGCACAGGGACACTGATTCTGCTGCATATTGCAGAAGGGCTTAAAGAGCCGAGGTGGCGCAGCAGTTAGAGTGCAGTACTGCAGGCCACTTTAGCTGACTGTGTTCAGCAGGTCAGCAGTTCAAATCTCACTGGCTCAAGGTTGACTCAGCCTTCCATCCTTCCGGGGTAGGTAAAATGAGGACCCAGATTGTTGGGGGCAATGTAAATATATATATATATATACATTGCTTACTGGTGTACACCGCTTAGAGGCAATGTAAATATATATATACATTGCTTACTGGTGTACACCACTTAGAGAGTGCTTGCACTTAAAGCGGTATATAAGTCTCATAAATAAATAAATAAATAAATAAATGAGAAAAAGATGGCTTGCCTGTTCTAGCTCTACCTGAACATCAGAAGGCAATTGTGCAGATGCCATAACCTGGTTCTATCAGGTTAACTTGAAGTCTCAATCCTAGCCTGAGTTGAGATGTTTTCAATGTTCCTCTCTTCAGGGTCCTCCAGGTCAGCCCGGATATCCTGGATCGGTAGGACCCCCTGGGCTCCCGGTGAGTATGACCTATCTTTGTATCCCTTCTTTCTCCAGGATCTCAAGAGGGTGTGCCTTGTACTCCATCTTCTAATTTGTCCCCATTGCCACAGACCAGTGAGGGCAGTTCAGCTAAGCAGAAACAATCCTTTTAGCCGTCAGAAGGGTTTCAAAATCTGGCTCTGCTAGTTAGCTTAAGTGCTGATGGGAGCGCTCCATGTTGAAGGTGACTGATGGATTGACAGGGAAGAGGCCAACACTGTACCGATCTTGCCTTGTGTTTCTCACCTTTGTATCTAATGTTTTAAATATTTTTATATTTATTATTTTAATTGTATGTCACCCAGAGTCAGTTTGCAGAGTGAAATGGGCAGCATATAAATTAGAAAAATAGAGATAGACAGACAGGCCACAGATCATCCTTGGAGTTCCATGGCTCCAGATAGGCCTGGACCTGGGTCTCCTAGCTCCTGCCAAAGAGATGGTCTGCGTGGCTACACAATCCTTACCTTTGGACTTAAGAAGGAACTCAGTGCCACCCAAAAACTATTTTCTGAATCCCATGAAAGACATTGGGTGATCAACAGCCATCCATAGTGGAGCAGAATTGCCTTGTAGAAAAAACAAATTCAAAGACTTTCTTCTGACCCAAAGTTTGCTCACATTTCTCTTCTTCACATGTGACTCTCTTTAGTATATCCAATTAAGGCCCTATTGGGTTTTCATTGGATGTAGGGGAAAAAAGTTGTCGTGACACATCATGTGACATTGCAAGTTTGAACCCGTGGTGTTAAACTGTTCATAAATGTTAATTTTGTACCATTTTAGAATCAATATGTCATGGTTCCGACAGATGAAACTCTTCAAAGAACTTCGAGGCATTGTTTACCTTAAAGAATCTTTATTCAAGTTGCATAGCATTGGCACGTACAGTCGAAGCCAAAATTTGGATTCCCCTCCCCTTAGCACATAGTATCAAACACAATTCCCTCCTCTAATTAACAGTCATAAATCACATTCTCCAATTAGTTTGAAATGCAGGCTTTCCCTCCTGTTCTCCAACCCGCCAATTCTTATCATCTCTTATTTTAAAAGTCCTGAATTCACACACTAGTACAATATCGTTATGTCTAACTAACTCCCATCGCATTCTTCCTCCTCCCCCAGCATCATCTAATTCTAAAAGTAAAGCATAAGAAAGAAAAAGGCTGCGTTTTTATATGTTGTCAAAGCAAGAACATTCAATGTTAGCAGTGTCGACACAATATTTGGAAATCTAAAATGTGGGTTTCAAAAGCAGAGTTTGCTAAAAGTCGTTTGAACTTTTATAAAAAAAAATATTTGCAAAACTTTTATTATTTTATTATTATTTGCAAAGCAGGAGAATGGAAGGAAGAGAGAATTCTTGGTGTTACCGCCATGCACCCCTGACAGTTTTAGCTGTCATTAATTGCTAGTTTAGTGTAATGGTGACGCCACCAAGCCAGACATCAGGAGATTGGGAGATCTAGTACCAACCTGGACACAAATTTAGCTGGGTGACCTTGGGCCAATCGCTCTTTCTCAGCCCTAAGAAACAGGAAGTGGGAAATCACTTCTGCAAAACCCTATCAAGAAAACTGCAGGGACATGCATATCCAGGGAGACTCTGAGAATCGGAAATGATTGACTGGAAAAGGGGGGAAATTGCTCTCGTTGTGCTGCTGGCAATATTTCTCTTTTCATGTTTATGTGTTTGCCTGCCACTAGGGTGCCAAAGGGGAACGGGGCTATGTTGGACCCCCAGGAGAGAAAGGAGAATCGGTAAGTAACTGGAAAAAGTATCTTTTCCTGGACTTTTTTCAGAGTTCATCCTCAGAGATTGGGAGATTTGTGGTTGGAGAAGAAAATCCTTTTTTTTTTCTTATAACCCACCTCTCTTTTTTTGCAAAGCTCTCTCCTATCTTTGCAGCTGCAAGACTCATATATCCTCAAGAGGATTTTTTAAAATATCATTGGTATCCATTTTATTCCATAGTAGCTACATCTGCATTTTTTTTTTTAAAAAAAAGTGTTTTAATTTATTGCTTTAACTGTTTAACAGTGCTATAAATCAGCCTGGAAGTGGGAATACGAAAGGGCAAGAAATGCATTAAAATTCATATTAAGTTAGGTAAATATAAAATACCTTGACGAGGTAAGCTGCTGCACTTTAAGAGCATTGCTAAACAAAGAGGCAGCCCCGGTTTTATTGTAACATTTCTCAACAATGACATCTTGAAGATGTGTGGATTTCAACAAGCTGGGGAATTCTGGGAGTTGAATTCAAGCTGTTTTAGCTGAAGCAGATTTCCTGGATATCAAACAACATTCTGATCAAAAGCCTGCCATTCCATAAATTCTTGATGTATTCTCCTCTATCATTTCTGTGGATAAGGAATGTGTTGACATGACAGCTGTCTTCCAGTACTTGCGGGAGTGTCAAAAAAGAGGGCATTGACTCTCCAAAGCACCTGGAGGCAAGACGAGAAGCAATGAGTGGAGACTTCCGGTTTTGATGTTGTGGCAATGCAGATGCAGGAAGATGGGTCTCCGTCTTTTGTGTTTGATTTCGATCTGCTAGGGGACCCTGAAAGGGTTGAAAGTCACCCTGTAGAGGTGGCAAGCAAGGAGGGGACCCTCGTTGATCGCAGGGGGTGGCAGCCCTCCCGTTTGATCTGAGGAAGCCCTCCAAGCCGGTGGGAAAAGACTAGCCACATCTGTGTAGCCAGTCCAAAGTTGCTGACAACGGAAGACAACAAGCACTATCAAGCAATCTTACAGCAACGTAAATGAAACTGGGTGAGACCTGATCCTCTCTTTATGATTTTAAGACCTCTTCCAGGAAATCTGCCCAAAGCACTCTCCCCGATGAGAGAGGGAAAGGGAATTTCCGCACCATTCCCTCAGAAAAGAAAAGCAGCTAGTTAATTACTTTATCTTATAGAGAAACCTATAAGACTAATACAGCTTGGAAATTTGGGGACTAAAAGTGTTTTTAAGACCTTTTTTTAAAAAAAACTTGAAAAGTTTACAATATGTTTTGGATTTAAAAATTGAAAAATGGCATTGATGACATCTAGTGGTGAATTATGGCACTACAACTTATTTATGCCTAAAAGAAACCTGGCTTGAAGCCCAGAATTAGATAAGACTTTGGCTGGCCTTGGAAGCTTTTACTATTGATAATTGCAGCTGAGAAAAAAGGAACAGACTTGGGGGCTGATTACCTATGTGGCAGAGATGATAATATTACTCTAAAATTGGTCCATCTGAATTATGAACACAAATACTGACTTTCAGGACTGTATTGTGGAACTAGTTTCCTGTAGAAGAAACATATGGAACACTTTGGATTATAAATCTTGATTGTTAAACAACCTTTAATGGTTCTTTTTTCTGCCTGGACAAAAAGAATATATTTCTCATTGGACAGAAAAGTTTGAATTTTACTTATATATGCTTAGAGGAGGTTTAGGAACAGCTAGTTGGTTGGATAAATTTATAAAGGCTACTTATATAAAAAAATGGATGTTCCATACTTAGCTCTAAATAGTAAAAAGCCATCCTTAACATCTGTTCCCAGTAGCCTCAGTTTGCCATATCCCCAAGAAAATAATGATGAACTACAGAAAGAAATTCTCTCCATGTTGAAATTAATACAAGAAACAATTGCTTTAGCTTGTGATCAGGTTAAAAATAACACAAAGGAGATAAAAGAACAATTTTCTAATTTAAATCTACAAACTCAGAAAATAACTACAGAGAAGAAACCAGCAACCCACAAAATAGAAGGAAAACTAGAGAATGCTGACACAAACATTGATGATCTAAAGGAAGAAACTAATGACCAGACTCAGATAAATGTAAACTTAGAAGACACAATGATAGTATTGGAAACGGAAAAGACATTTTACAAATCAAGGTTACAGAACATACTGGAGGATAAGGAAGGAGAGCTGATGGAATGGAAGATAAAGCCGTTAACAGAACTGTGGGGAACTGGAGAAGGAGGGAGGCTGTTTAATGATTATCAATGGTCTAGTTCTTCCAAAAATACTTTGACTAAATTGTTTCTCTTGTTTCAAATAATATATACAAAAATAGAGGAAAACTTATTTGATGATCCAAATGCACTGACTTGGAAAGTTAGTTGGCAAAGGAAGAAAGCTAGAGTAAGACTGAAGGAAACAGAAGCGTTGACCTATTAGAGGGGATGCTATATCGCTGATTAGATGTTTGAATATGGTTAAGAATAGATTGTTAGAAACAGAAGTGTTGTTATAACTAGATAGCTAGGATTTGTAATCAGAATATCGTATCTTCTTATGAAAAGGAAAAAAAAGAATATTCTAAGAACTTTGAATAAGGGAAGCTTTTGGTTACCCAAATATAACTTGTTATGAAATTATAAATGATTGGGATACTTTGAACATGAATGGGAAATTAAAATTGAAAAAAAGTGAAAATAGGATATGGACCAAATAAATGGAAATTGAGTACAAATGCATTTAAGATAGGGGTGTCAAACTGCTGGCCTGCGGGCCGGTTTCATCATACCGGAGCCGCGCCCACCCCATTGCCTGCAATGGCAAAAAAGCTCCGATGCGTTGCACGACGTCATGTGACGTCGCGAGTTTGACGTCTGATTTAAGATATGCTTTGGTTAGAAAAGATATTTTAAACTGATATTATTGCCACTATTAGAAAAATGTAACAAATGTTGATATGCAATTGTATATTTATTAACAACAATAAGAATTGTATTTGCTTAGTGTGAAAAAATGGTTATTACCAGAAGAAAAAAGGGTTACTGGAGAGTGTTAATACTGGACTTAGTTTGAAGAACCTTACATGTACCATGGAATCACTAGTGACTCCGTCATCATGTTGTCTATTGGGCACTTGATTTTGAAAATAGAAAATTAATAAAACATTTATAACAAAAGAGAAGCAATGGGTGGAGATCATTAAAGAGAGATCCAGTCTAGAAATATGGAGAAATTTGCCTACATTCTGAACAATTAATCAATGGAATAGCTTGCCTTCTAGAATTGTGGGTGCTCCGTCACTGGAAGCTTTCAAAAAAAGACAATAGACATACCATCCCAAACAGACAACCATCTGTTTGGGATGGTATGAGGCCTCCTGCCATGGACAGGGTGTTGGACTAGAAGACCTCCAAGGTTCCTTCCAGCCCTATTATTCTATGGTAGTCACTCTCTCTGAATCAAAGAAACCATGACACATACTCAAGTTCAACCCAAAACAAGTTATGGAGAAGAACAAAGCTCACAGGCTGCCACCTTGCATGCCAACGTGTCTCTTGCCAAAAGAAAAGGACAATTCCAGTTTATCGCCCAAAAAAACCCAGATAGTTAAAGGAGCTAATTAACATCATTTCCTACCCATTCACTTCATGTGGGCTACAATATGTGTGGGAAGAACTGAAAGGAAGGGTAGGCAGGGACTAGATCACCAACAATCAAAAGAGTTGAGATCCATCACGGGTGCATTGTCTGAAGAAGACTGATGAGTTGAGAGAGTGTGTTTTAATTCCGAAGACCATCTCACTCAAATTGCTATATATTAACCTTTCCAAAACCTGACCCTTTTTAGAGGTTTTTGCCACAACATGTACCATCTCCTGCCAGAATGTAAGTCAAAGATCGACCTACAACAACTGACTGTGGTTCTTTGAGGTTTAAAAAAAAAAGGACTTTAGAAGCTCTCCTGGCAGATGTCACAGTTCAGTGTTGATAAAACAATTTTTATGAGCATCTCAGTAAGGCATAACTATCTGTGGAATGATGTCCCATAAATTCTACCCCACTCTCACCATGGATGTCAAGGCTCTCGTAGTTTTTATTTGTATATTACACTAGATTTATTAAGTCTGCAATTTAGTAAATAAAAATAATAAACATTATTTTAAAAATAATCTTTTTAAAACTATCTTACTCTCTGAAGGCATTATTGTTAGGTCAACAATTGCCAATTCAAGGAATTATCTCCTCCATTTCCATCCTCCACTAATGTCTGGGAATGCTGCTGATGAAATGTCTCCTTTTGCTCTCCAGGGACCCCCTGGCACAGATGGACCTATAGGACCCATGGGACCCTCGGTAAGCTCACCAGCTCAGTTACGTATGGCGTGAAATGACCCATCGGACCTTTGGTTGCAACCAAGGCATCTGGTGGGTGGAAATTCTGGGTGTTGTAATCCACAAGATCTTGAGGCCTCCACCACCTCTGAGCACCTGGAGCCTTGCCTTCTGTAGCAAATGGTTTGATGGGAACCTATTTATGTTTTGCAAACAACAGGTTTGATAGGTCTTTCCTTGAGGGGTTTCCAATCTAAATTCGACTGTTTCCAACAGTCAGAAAGGAAGGGGCAGTGTCAAAGGTTGAGTATCAGAGGTTGAGTAAACAGGGCAAGCTTTTGTGATCTCCTTAGATATATATACTTGTTAGCATTTTTGAGAATGCAGGAAGGGAATATACTGTGTGTACTGTCATGGGTTCCAAAAGAAGAAGCTTTTCAAAGAACTTTGAGGCTTTGTTTTCCTTAAAGAATCCTTTTATTGCTACATAGCTTCAGCACGTACATAACGAAGCCAAAAACTGAATCCTCCCTCCCCCAATCACCTGTAACAAAGCATAACTCACTCCTTCATTTTACAGTCATCAATCACGTTCTCCAATTAGTTTGAAGTGTGAACTTTCCCTCCCGTAACTCCTCTAGTTACAACTGACCTTGGAAATACTGTACTGAAATATTGTTGTGGCTAACTATCCCCCGAGTACATACTTTCCCACCCGCTATTCTAACACTGTCTGACTTTAACTCTAGAAGTGATATACAGGTTAAATAAAACATGCTTGCTTCTTGATATATGTCAAGCGAGAACATCTGATGTTAGCAGTCTTGACATGTACTTTATATATGATCTGGGGTCCTAGTTCTCACTAAGGCGGTGAACCTGACTCTGGAGTTTATCACACTGGGCTGGTGGTGAGGGCTCTGATTATCTGAAGGGTTCTCTGGATTCAACGCTGCTCTACAAATTGAAAAGGAGCAGGTCAGGGACAAAGGTTCCAGCTTCCATTCATCCATCACCTAAGCCTGCCAGACACTGGCTAGCCAGCCCAGGGAGAACTTCAGGTCTGCCGAAAAGTTGCAACAGCTACAGGCAAAGAACGCCGTTGTTATTCTCTCCTTACATCAGGGTCCCAGAGGAGAACGAGGATTGCCAGGCAGCTCAGGAGAAAAAGGAGACCAGGTAAGATATTCTGGGCCAGGAGTGTTTTCCATTCTGAAAGCGGCCACCGCTTGGGGCAACGTGCCCACAGGCTACATCCAGAAGGAGAGAGGGTGTCCTAGTCTTCTGGCACTGCAGTATTGTCCCTGTGCTGAACCGCCTTGAGTGTTTATCCCTCTAGTCTCTGCTAGAGGCTTGATCTGGAGCGCTACAAGAGTGTCTGCGGGGCATGGTCGAAAAGGTTGAGTACAGCTCAGCTGGTGCAGTTGAAATTCTGTCTGTTTTATGTCAACCGTCCCACTGGTTAAACTCTCTCGAGACATTCTTTTTACCAAGAGTAAGCCTTTACTGAAAATTCCATATTGGTACAAGAGTAAAAAAGCCAGTTCTAATGATTTCGCCTGTAATAGCATAGGACAGTGATGGTGAACCTTTTAGAGACCGAGTGCCCAAACTGCAACCCAAAACCCACTTATGTATCGTCGGGTGCTGGGTGGGCGTGGCCCATTGGGTGGGCGTGACTGCGGTGGTAACAGCAGACTGGGTGGGACTAAAAAGTTCAATCAAGTCCAACTTTGCGAGATCTTTTTTTCTCCCGCAAGAAGTTGAAATTGATTGATTGATTGAACCTTTTTTTTTTTTTTTGCACACGGGCTCTGTGTGCCACCTGTGGCATGCGTCCCATAGGTTCGCCACCACGGGCATAGGAAAACATTCCCTTTTCCCCCCTGGCCCTCCCATTGTCCACCAATAATTTGCACTTTTGTTGTTTTGGGAGTGGCCTGTCTGCCTTGGATGTTCCCAGCTGATGACTTTGGGGTGTTGGGTTTGTTTCAGGCTTCCAGTCGGCATTCCACATTCCCCTCCCATGCCTCCCTTACATTCCAATACCTTCACTCTCCCCTTCCATTACTGTTGTCTGGTTGTGAGTGGGGCTGCGTAGCGAGTCAACCGTGACAGTTTTTTATGGCTTTGGACATATAACGCCCATAAAAAATGGGTATAGCTTTCATCGCCCCATCATGGCCACCATCTTGACTGTTTTGGCCATAGAGGTTGTCCTCAACTTATGACAATTGAGCCCAAAATTTCTGTTGCTAAGTGAGACATTTCTTAAGTGAATTTTGCCCCATTTACCACCTTCCTTGTCACAGTTGCTTAGATCAGAGGTCCCCAATCTTCTGGGCACCAGGGACCGGTTCTGTGGAGAGAGGTTTTTCCATGGACCGGAGGGGGCGTGGTTTCATGTACTGTCTGCATCCCGCAGATGGGGTTTTGCTTGTTTGTGCGGACCGGTTGCTGGTCCATGGACCAGGGGTTGGAGACTCCTGGCTTAGATGTTTAAACTTATCCTTCCAAGAACTGACCAGGCTTAGTTCTTCTGAACTTCAAAAACTCTATAGAACATTTTTGTAACTTCAAATTCCTTGACCTAAGTGCCACTTAGCAACATCCTAAAGTTTTCCTTGGTGGAGGGAAGGGGAGAAGAGCAGAGGGGAGGGGAGGGGAGGGGAAGGGAAGGGGGAAATAAGGAAGTCTCTTAAGAGCTTGATGCCACCAGAGTAAATGGACATAATACAGAAATCCAATACGGAAGTTATTTGTCCTTGCTTTCTTCTGAGAGCGTTTTCCAGCTTCCCTGAGATTTCATTGTGGTCTCCCATCCAAAATGCTAATCTGGATTTATTCTGCTTAGCTTTTCAGATCAGCACAGCTTGCATTCAGGGGGTTATATTGCCTTATCTTGGGCGTTGCTGAGTATTAATCTACATTTATTTTATTTTATCCCCAGGGTTTTCAAGGCCAGCCTGGTTTTCCGGGGGCACCGGTAAGTTTGGTACATCCCAAAATATTTTGTTCTGGAGTGTCAGTCTCCTTACACAATCACACTTGTAAAATGTCTGTGAGCTGAAACAGTGCAAGGCCATAAATAAAGAGTCACAGAGCCTCTTGCATTAGATCTCAATGACATTATTTAAGATTCTCTTTAAGGATAAGATCCCCAGGAGAAATATGTTTAAGAAAGGCAAGACAAGTGTGAGAAAACCAAATGTACTAACAGAAGAGAATATGTGTTGAAACGTGGGTTCCTGGCTGCTGTCTGAGCTTGGTTGTTTTCTAGCACACATTTCATTACCCAACTAGGTAACATCATCAGAACACCAATGATTTTACCTAGTTGGGTAACAAGCATTTTTAAGAAAACAACCAAAAAACAAATGTCTCAGTCCTTTCTCTGGCAGTACAGACATGGAAAAGATAGACCACAAACTAACTTTTCACAAGCTTCCAATCATCTTTCTCCAATCTGGTGCCCTACAGATATAATTTGGACCATGCTAGTTGGGAACTAGTAGTCCAGCATAGCTGGAGAACGTCAGCATGAAAAATTCTGCTTAAAGCTAACCAAAGGCACAACCTGTGAAGACTGTCATGGTTCCGACAGATGAATCTCTTCAAAAGAACTTTGAGGCATTATTTACCTTAAAGAATCTTTTATTTGAGAAACAAAGTATCGGCACTACATAGTTGAAACCAAAAACTAAATTCCCCTCCCCTTGGCACAAAGTAGTCACACCCAATTCCCTCCTCCAATTAACAGTCATAAATCACATTTCCCAATTAGCTTGAAGCATGGACTTTCTCCCCAGCTCTCCAGCCCCCCAAATCTTTATCAACTCTGGGCGCAATAACCTTGGATTCCCACGGCTGAGTTATTATTGTCATGGCTAGCTGGACTCTTATCCACTTTCCACGTGTCTTTTTTTTAGGGTCCTCCAGGTTTTCCAGGAAAAGCAGGATCTCCTGGGCCTCAAGGACCACCAGCTGAAAAGGTGAGTGACCAAAGTCAAATATTGAGAGGAAGGGAAGATTAAAAGAAGCAGAACCAATGTGCAAGGAGCAGCAAAGATGTAAACATACCTGCCACCCAATTTCAATGGGAGCAAAATTGCACCATCCAGTGAAACGCCGTTTTTCTTTTGTGTTCTCATTCACACTGAGAAGTTGTTTGAGAAAGAAGATTACATATATTAGGGTTAGTTGAGCTGAAACGATACGGTAACATTTCTGTATAAAAGCATGCATGCAGTGTGTTTCTCAAATATATATTAGGGAAAGTCACATATAAAACGACACACATAAGGTGCAAACAATTCTCGTACAATTGATTTTCCTGGAGGGTTTTTTTTTCCTCAACTGTAAAAATATTGACGAGGGGAAAGAATGCATGGAAATCCGTGCGGCTAACGCATCTGCAGATTTAGTGCTGATATAAACTGTTGAGGGAAAGGAATTCTCTGGGCTTCTGGGCTTAAAGCAGTGTTTCTCAACCTTGACAATTTTAAGGCATGTGGACTTCAACTCCCAGAATTCCACAGCCAGCAATGCTGGCTGTGGAATTCTGGGAGTTGAAGTCCACATGCCTTAAAATTGTCAAGGTTGAGAAACACTGGCTTAAAGGGTGGGTTATGGCTTCCAAACCGGAAGAACAAGCTCCAAAGAAGCAAAACATGGTCAACTTCTCTGCTGGCCTTGAAATTTTATACCAATTGCAGAACAGTTGCATGTGTAGTGTCCCAGATGATCTTACTGACCCTGCTCAAGCAACGCTTCTGTGCTGTGTCCTGGATGGGAGGGAGGGAGGGAGCTGCCAATGATCTTTTCAGCTATCCTCACCACTCTCTGCACCGTCTTCCTGCCTGAAGCAGGGATGCTTCCAAGCCAGACTGCGATGCTGTATGACAGGATGCTTTTATCTCCTCTGGAAGCAGCTGGGGGAAAATGAAGGCTCTTCTTCCCCCAAAGTTACAAATTCATATGCTTCTATCTCAGCTTGCTGTCCAACAAGACCATGGATGAAGGGGGGGGGGAGTAACCTCCAGAAGAGCAAGGGGGGGAACTGGGGTGTTTTGCTCAAAGGAGGCGTTTCTGCAGGGCTTCCTAACAGATACACACTATTGGAGAGCTTTATCTTCATATTACTGGTCACGGGAACTTTTTCTGCAGATAATGGATGGAGAAGGCATTGGCAGTATAGATCGGAAAAGAAGCTCCTTTGAGAATGCCAAGGGAAAAAATAGCTATTGGGTTGCAACAGGGAAGACATTAGGAGAAGCAGGGGGGAGGTGTGTGTGGGTGTGTGTCTGCCAATTGCTGGCTTTTGCTGACATCTGCTGCGTTCCACAAGGACTGCAGCCTGGAGGTTTTTCTTGGCTCTTGGGAAATCGGACGGGAAGGGAAGTAAACCTTGAGCCTAAATTCAAGAAGGATTGTCTATGGAGATATTTCAATCATCCAGGGTCAGGGGTCTTCACACTTGGCCCTTTTATGACTTGTGGACTTCAACTCCCAGAATTCCTCAGCCAGGTACGGGTGCCTGGCTGAGGAATTCTGGGAGTTGAAGTCCGCAAGTCATAAAAGGGCCAAGTGTGAAGACCCCCAATCCAGGTCATAGTTATCCCTAAGGTGCTTTTTTTTTCCAAAAGGCAACTGGATTTTCTTGAAGGTTTTGGGAAAAAAAAGGGCCTTTGGGTTTAAGAAAGATTGTACATTGTGGTGCTCGGATGGGACACACACACACACACACACACACACACACACACACACACCCCTGGGAGGGCTCCCAAAGCATAATTTTAATTTCTCCCAGAAGCAGATCAGCTTTCTGTCATCCAGAGAGCGGGACAAGGAAATATTTTACAGCTCACTTGTAAGCTGCCTAGAGTCACCTTGTAGGGCAGATGGGTGACATAAAAATTTAATACAGGTAGCCCTTGATTTACAACCACAGCTAAAGCTCAAGATTTCTGTTGCTCCATTTTACAACCTTTGTTGCCACAGTTGTTAAGTAAATCTGGCTTCCCCATTGGCTTTGCTTGTCAGAAGGTCACAAGAAGGGATCACGTGGCCTTGGGACACGGTCACGGTCATAAATATGAACCAGTTGCCAAATCTAGACAGCATACTAAAAAGCAGAGACATCACCCTGCCAACAAAACTGTGTATAGTCAAGGCTGTGGTTTTCCCACTTGCAATGTATGGCTGTGAAAGTTGGACCCTAAGAAAGGCTGAGCGCCAAAGAATGGAGGCCTCTGAACTATGGTGCTGGAGAAGACTCCTGCGAGTCCCCTGGACTGCAAGGCGTTCAAACTGGTCAGTCCTAGAAGTGATCAACCCCGACTGCTCTTTAGAAGGCCAGATCCTGAAGTTGAATCTCAAGTACTTTGGCCACCTAATGAGAAGGAAGGAGAAGAGCCTTAATGCTGGGGAAGATTGAGGGCAAGAGAAGAAGGGGATGACAGAGAAGGAGATGGCTGGATGGAGTCACTGAAGCAGTAGGCGTGAGCTTAAATGGACTCCAGAAGATGGCAGAGGGCAGGAAGGCCTGGAGGAACGTTGTCCATGGGGTCACGATGGGTCAGACATGACTTTGCAACTAACAACAAGTAGAGGACTGCCTGTAAAAAAATGGAAAGGGAGAGGCGTGGGAACTAACCCCATTTCTCCCCAGCCCAGGCTGTGTCCTCTCCTGGCTTCTTCTCCTTTGCTCTTCTTTCCCACGGCAGCCAACAGGAGCTGAATCACTGAAAGAGGTTTTCTTCTCTGCAGGGCAGTGAAGGGATGCGCGGGTCTCCTGGCATGGCTGGTCCCCCCGGGCCTCCAGGACAACCTGGACTACAGGTAAGTCAGGTGGAGACACATAGGTTAAATCAGAGTCTCCCAACCTTTCTGGCTTTGCGGACCGGCAGGAAGGGAGAGAGGAGAGGAGATGGTTCCGCACAAGCTGCTGGCAAGCGCGCGGGGGCACAGGTCCATTTGAAGGGTGTGCATGCACACCCACCACTTGCCCAAGTGGAGCACACATGCACACTCTTTTTTTTTGTAAAAAGTTTTTATTTTCAATTTTACAATACATTACGTTCTTAAAAATACTTCAGATAAAAAATAAAACAAATTAATACACACCATTTTCGGTATTGCTCACCCATTTCCCCCCAAACTGCATCCACCCTCTAACCAACTTGCCTCTTACCCTCTTCTTCCCCTTTCTCACTCACCCCCTCTCCTCCACCTTCCTACTTACTTCTCACCTTCTTCTATCCTCTCACTCCGGATGGGATCCAGGGGAAGACATGCACACTCTTGACCCTTGGTCTAAATCACCCTACAGTGAAGGTGGGAAGACCGCTGTTTCACCATAGTGTGAAATCAAGCAGCATTTTCCCTCTTTCCATCCCAAGAAGTCACTTTGAGAAGCTGAAACCAACTCAGCCCATCCTGTTCTTGAACTACCAAATGTAGCTTAAGATTTGCTGTGTGTCCTCATCCCCTATCTAAAACAAGAGAACTGTGTCAACTTGAAGTTGGAATTTAAAAGATTTAAAAGTTCCGTCCACTGGGGCAGCCAGTGGGGGGCAAAGACTGGGGGATTAAGGATCAGGAAGATGCTTTTATTATTTTTGTAACAGAAACTATGGCTGCTGTCCTTCTGTAAAACATTTATTATGTGTGTCACATATTCAAGCCCTGCGTCCCCGGATACTTTTGTACTAAGAGCACAAGAGTCATAGAGGTGTGGTGTGACCTGAATGCCAGGAAGTTCTTGTTTCAAGATATCAACCACTTGCAAGATTGCCTTAGATAAAGATTAGGAGGAGACTTTTAGCCCTTTTTCAAATGGACCAATTTTATGAAAAGGCTTGGAGAAGGGCACTTGGTTAAATTAGATCTCATTAGAAGCCATGGCTTATACAGCCATCCATTTAGATTCTTTAGCCGCGATCTGCTCAAACAAGCAAATGACAGTGTAACAAGCAGAACATTACGTAAATTTGCTTGACCATATTCACTTTCCATTTTAGCTTCAGTGGCTGATATTGCAGCAATTTTCAGATGTGGGTTCCCAGTTCTAACTGTGGTGCGCTATTTCCCCATTACACAGACTCCAATTTAGCATCAAGGATATTTTGCAAGTCTACATCCAACCATAATTTCTGATTCTGTAGGGCGATCAATTACAAACTCTGCTTGATCATCATGCCGGATCATTACAGTGAGCCATCATCATTTGGCTCATTTATTTTCATCTTAACAACTACGGTTAAAATGTTCTGGCTTAAAGATAGGTATGAATCCATCCATAAACCAAACTTCAGCACACTAGGCTCTCTTAATACTTACAGTACATTAAATAAACATAAAGCATTGACCGTTGCACTTGGTTTTTTTTTTTCTCTAGGCAGTTCAAAGAAAGAATGCACATGTAATCTAAGTTTATTTTTAGGGTCCACCTGGCCTGGAGGGACAAGATGGAAAAGATGGAAAACCAGGGTCACGGGTAAGAATGTGTGTCCCAGTCGCAAATTACACTAGTCTTACTTATAACATTCACATGAAAAGTGCCCTTGTAATAGGTGATCAAACCGGTCAGCCCTAGAGGAGATCAACCCTGACTGCTCTTTAGAAGGCCAGATCCTGAAGTTGAAACTCAAGTACTTTGGCCAGGAGAAGGAAGGACTCACTGGAGAAGAGCCTAATGCTGGGAAAGATGGAGGGCAAGAGAAGAAGGGGACAACAGAGAAGGAGGTGGCTGGAAGGAGTCACTGAAGCAGGAGGCGTGAGCTTAAATGGACTTCAGAAGACGTTAGAGGATAGGAAGGCCTGGAGGAACGTTATCCATGGGGTCGCGATGGGTTGGACACGACTTCGCAGGAACAATAGGTTTCATCCTACAGTCACTGCTGGCTCTTTAGGATTGAAAAGTGGCCCACTTTTGATGTCTTCTGGCCTTCAGCTTCTTGAGAAAATTAGCAAAGTGGTGGTTGTACTGTATGCCTCCTGGGAAAAGAGACCGGATCTGTTTATATCTGGATGGGAAGTAGGGGGAGAAGGCAGATTTAGTATGCTGAAGACTTGGGATGTTGCCGTTCTCTTTCTTTAAGTAGGACTAACTCTTGACTTCTCCTAGGGTGACTCAGGACCACCCGGACCTCCAGGAATGATGGGCCCTCCAGTAAGTTGTTGGCCATCCCAGATTTTACTAGACATTGGGAAAGAGGGGAACAGAAATGTCTTCTTCCATTGATCCCTTAGTCTTTTGAGAGATCTGATGGTGCCAATTTTTTATCAGCTGATGATGCCCTCTTAGCTTTTTCTTGGCATGCAGATGTGTATCAGCCATTATCAACAGCAATGATTGTTGTCTGATACTAATTCAAGCCAGGCTCTTTTGTAAGGAGGTATTTCTGCTCTGTGGGCAGCCCTGAAGCTTCAGTGCTCAGGGCCTGCCGACTTTGATCTAGTAGCCAATTTTATAGCCTGCCTGTTGTTTTCTTTTTCTTCTCTCTAGGGATTCAAGGGGAAAACAGGTCATCCTGGTCTGCCAGGACAGAAGGTTAGCCTTGCCATTGATTGCAAGATCAAAATGTGATACATGTTCCTTCTCATTTACTCAACCTCAGGTCAAATTGCTCAAATATATTGTCTAGGGGATGGTTTCTCCTTGCCTGAAAATTGGAAAGCAAGGCTGAAAACTGTAATTCTCACTGATATAAACCAGTGACTGTTAATGAGCTCCTTAGGAACAAAATGTGCATTTGTTTGTGTAAACGTATTCTTCCTCAGCTGTCGATTCCCCACTCCCAATTTCCCATCATAAAGGTCTACAGCAGTGATGGCGAACCTTTTAGAGACCGAGTGCCCAAACTGCAACCCAAAACCCACTTATGCATCGTCGGGTGCCGGGTGGATGTGGCCCATTGGCTGAGTGTGGCCCATTGGGTGGGTGTGGCTGTGGTGGTAACGGCAGACTGGGTGGGACTAAAAAGTTCAATCAATCAATTCCAATTTTGCAAGATCTTTTTTTTTCCTGCAAGAAGTTGAAATTGACTGATTGCTTGAACCTTTTTTTTTTTTGCACACAGCGGTGGAGGCCTAAAGCGAAAAAGTTTTATAAAACCCAGCTGAAGGCCTAGGACTGGGGTGACAGCGCACGTGCCCATAGAGAGGGCTCTGAGTGCCGCCTCTGGCACCCGTGCCATAGGTTCGCCACCACTGGTCTACAGCATTATTGCCCATTTATTCCCCGCCCCCTCTCCCTTCCCCATTTGATGACAGAACACCAGGTGCCAAGCCAAAGCTGGTGGATCTGACATAACCTATCAAGACTCTTCACAGCTTATGATAAACACAACAATACAGTTAGCTAGAAATATTAAAAACAATGCTCGGTTAAAATCAACAACTAAAATCCTTTTTTTAAAAAAAAAAGTGCTTGGTCTTAAAAGCTTTTAAATCAAGACTTGTTATAATTCAACAGAAGATGCATCACCCCCAAAACTGGGTGACCACAAGGAAAACACTAGTAGACTTTAAATCACAGAGCAAGAGAATTGTAATACAAACCACAGACATCTTATAGAAGCAATAACCAGTCCTTTGTATTTTGCCTGGAAAGAAATAGGCAACGCATGATGGTACTATCAGCAAAAGAGAATATTTATAGCTCAAGGTCTTTGGTGCCCAGTTGTTTTCTTGCAGGTTTCATTAACATCATCACTGCTTAACCGATGATGTTACCTAATCAGATAATGAAACATCTGCAAGAAAACAATCAAGGATCCCACACGATGATATGCTTCTACCCCAGATGAGTTCTGTCAGACCCACAGAGAACACATTGCAGATGTCATCAGCACCATAGCATCAAGGTCATTATTTTTCCAGTTGGCCAGTTGGATCAATGATACTTCTCAATGTTGTCTGGGGAAAGTGTGAGAGTTTCACATCTAGGAGCAACTCCACGCTACACACTTGCTTCTTCGTCCAGAGCTATGTCACCTCATTCCGAACAGAGAAATCTATCACTTCTCTAGAAAGGTGACCCACTCAGTCAGCATCCCTGTCTTGTGTGGTTGCATTTTCCATATATTATTCTATACGCAACCCATGATCTATGGAAGGAAAAATATTTTTGCATACATTTGGCTATACTCCTGAAGGTGAGCATCTAAGCTGACACCGCAATTTTAATAATTACAACAGAAAGGAGATTTATTTCAGGAGGAATACGATATGGATAGGCAAAGCCTACATTTTTCCAGAAAGACGACGAGAGAAGACAGGTTCTTTAGGTGTGTATCTAGGAGAAAAGGCAGAGAGGTTTGAGATAAGCTGCGTCAGAGATCAGGAGCAAGCAGAGTATTAAAGAGAAAGACGGAATAAGTGATTAACATAATTTATGACCCTTGTCCTTGTGTTCAGTAGGTGACAAAGTGTTGAAGAATCTCCAGCACTGAAGTCACAGGTCCAATATTATTAACTGCAGACCGGTGTTCAAGTTCATGACCATTGTTTTGCCAAGTGCCAGGGCAGTGATCGGGTTCCTAGGCCGTTGTTTCTTTTGCATCCAGAAACAATGAACAAAGCAGTAAATAAAGGGATTTTATTATTAGTTCAAGCAAACTGACGGAAAAGCATAACATAAAAAGCATACATACCAAGCAAGCTAATACTCAGATCTCTTACAGGCTCTCAGGAGCTCCATAATAACAACAGCAGAAATACCCAATTTCCACAATACTACTGCTAGGTTACGTGCTCCAGAGTTTTGATCAGAACCTGGCCCTGTGGCTTCATGGCCCTACTATGGTCAGGAGACGGCAACCTTGCTTGGTGGAACATGACTCTGGGATATAAATCAAACGTTTGAGACTTTCACAGCCACATAAAGCTCTGAAGCTACAGGAAGATTCCCCTCCTCCTTCTCCTTTATTCAATAAACGAGAAAAAAAAGGCAAGCAGGTTACCTCATGAGCTCTAAACTGTTCTTAATAGGAAGGGGAAATGTCACTAAGCTCCCCAAAATAACAATGGTCTTCTACGTTACCACTTCAATCATTTCTTGACAGTGTTATGAAAATAGATTTCAGGGTCATCAGCTCAATGATCACGCAACAGCAATCCAGCTGGTTGCGTCAGAAACTGAAAAATATTGGAGACCGAGAGACGTTGTAAAGGCCCCCGTTTTGAGAAGCAGTTCTTTCTAAGAACTTCTAAGAAGTTCTTTCTAAAGAACTTCAGTAAAAAGATCTCAAGTAGACTCCTGGAGAACTGCTGTCAATTAGGGCAGACCCATCTCTCTCAAACAGGAACCCCTTGAATTCTCACTCTGAGAATTGTGGGGCTCAAAACCCAACACTGGAAACTTGAAAAATAGTGAAGGAGCCCGCCCTTGGGCTGTGTGAACCACAGATTTGATCTGGCTCCAGGCAGCTTCACACATCACTTCAATCCCAAAGGTGTGTTTGGCTGTGACAAAGCATTCAGAGATTAGGGCCCATCGGGACGGGGAGGAGGACAGGCTGATCCTCACGATCATCTGTCACTGAGGCTGGATGAACAAGTAGACCAGGAAGAAGATAGGCTTCGATAGCTTTGTAGCTTCCGTAATACAAACCTTCTAAGCCACATCTCCTTGACTTTCTAGGGTGATTGTGGAAAGCCAGGACCTCCTGGAAATACAGGCCGGGCTGGAGCTGAGGTGAGTTATCAGCATACAGCCAAAAGTGAATTGCAAGGTCAGAGGTACACTCTCGAGTTATAATTCTGCACCTGTGTTTGTCTGGATTCAGCAGAGGGGGGCCTACGAATATATACAGAAGTCAGTTATAGAAGGGTTTTCATTCACTGTCACAGTATGCCATGAGTGGAACTCAAGTGGAGAATGCAGAGTAGATGAAGGATGTACAAAATGGTATGGATGGCTAAATTCATTATACCTTGGTTTCTGTTCCATGGGACAAAGAAAATGAGCTGGAATTAGCAAGATGTTGGGAGGAGAGCAAAGTTAATCCACAAGATCAGTGGTTCTCAACCTTTTTAATGCCGCGACCCCCAACCGGTTGTAAGTCGAGGACTACTCAACTGGTGCAGCACCATTTGCAGAATGGGACTTTTGGCGGGGTCAGCAGGGCAGAGACAGCCTGGACAATTCCTATTGGCTTTTGAAAGCCAATAGAATTAGACTCCATTCAAGAGAGTCTATTCTATTGGCTTTCAAAAGCCAATAGAATAAAAGGGAGTAGTACAGCTAAGGAAAAGGGGGAAAAAATGGCGGACTGCGTTGTTTGGCGACCCCCGTGAAATGGTCGTTCGACCCCAAATGGGGTCCCGACCCACAGGTTGAGAACCGCTGCACAAGATTAATTCCTCTACTAGCTTACCTTAGTTCACTTGTACTTGTTGAGTATAGGTCTGTATGTATTTGGAGAGAGAAACTGAATAACGGACACGGATGCAGCAACAATCTTCACAATCAAACCTCCCTCCCAGAGAAGATTGTGCCATGCAGATTATGATGTTACGTAAGCACAGAATACTTGCTATGCCAAGGAGAAAGGTAGTCCTCAACTTACAAGTCTAATTGAACCCAGAATTATGATTGTAAAGTCATTGCAGTTGTTAAGCCGCTCACCAGGTGACCAGATTCAATTTTATGACATTTTTTTTTTTTGCAGCAATTATCAAGCAAACACAGCTTAATTGTTAAGTGAATCCATTTTTAAAAAATGGGCATTTTTTTGCTGGAAACTTGGAAATGAACCTTGGCAACTGGCAAAAAAAATGTCAAAAATTGCCATGGGAGCACAGGACACTGCAAATAAAGGTGAGCTGGTTGCCAGGGGCCCAAAATGTGATCACATGACCACTGGAGGGTGCTGTTGTGGTCAACCTGTTCACCACCTTGAGTTGTTTGTAAAACTAACAAAGGCAGGATACAAAAAAATACATAACTTGAAAATTGGATCGTAGGTGGTTTGGGGGGAGCCCATTGTAATTGCAAACAGTCACTAAGCAACTAGTCGTAAGTTGAGGACTACTTTTAGATGCAACCAGGGAACAGTAGACAAGGCACAGTCCTATGTATACATCCCAAAATACGTGTGTGTCAATGCTATAGTATTGATTACCTTAGTCATAACTTGCCTAGATTGTCCCTGGCAATGCATTTATGTAATTTGCTCCAAGAATAACCTAACCCAGACAAGTATTTGGTCTAATATTATTTTTCTTCTCCAGGGAGAGCCCGGTCTTATGGGGCCTCAAGGTCGACCAGGACCTCCTGGACATGTCGTAAGTCAAAATACTCTTTCCTGTATTTTGTACGAGCAGATTCATAGCTGGGTTGCAAATATGTCTATAAAGCTTCCAGGTCAGGCTTGTGAACCGGTGATAAAAGCAGGTGCCGCTTGGCATAAAAGCCCAAGTATAAATGCCAACTGTTCCAATTCTCCCTTTGTGTCATTTTGTCCCTTTCTGGATTCCTCTTTTTTTTAAAAAAAAAAATGCAATTCAAAACAACAACAAAAGCACCATTCACATTCTGGTTTTAATACTAGCTAAGCTGGAAAAAGCAAGCCCGCCAAACATATTCCACAGTATTAACAGCAGACGATCAGAATAAATTATTCCAATTGCCAGTTGCTCCTCAACCCAAGGATTGAAGATTGGCACTCGAAAGCTGTATGGCAGTGGTTCTCAACCTTTTTAATGCCGTGACCCCCAGCCGGTCGTAAGTCGAGGACTACTCAATCGGTCGTAAGTCGAGGACTTCTCAACTGGTACAGCACTGTTTGCAGAATGGGACTTTTGGCGGGCTCAGCAGGGCAGAGACAGCCTGGACAATTCCTATTGACTTTTGAAAGCCAATAGAATTAGACTCTATTCAAGAGAGTCTCTTCTATTGGCTTTCAAAAGCCAGTAGAATAAAAGGGAGTAGCACAGCTAAGGAAAAGGGGGGAAAAAATGGCGGACTGCGTTGTTTGGCGACCCCCATGAAATGGTCGTTCGACCCCAAATGGGGTCCCGGCCCACAGGTTGAGAACCGCTGCTGCATGGAAACTATTGAACTTCAGTTATTGCAAGTGACCTGTAGATTTTTTTTTATTAATAATTTTTTATTTTTCCAAACTCTCCCCCATACATATACTGTAATATTTATCAGATGTTAACATACATTCTTTTTACATTCATATATAAGATACTTTTAACAAAATGAAATAAATACATACACATGACTTTTGGTGTTGCTCGCCCATTTCCCCTTTCACCGTATCCACACTCGTTCTTCTCTACCTTCTTTCTCCCTTTCTTCTCTTCCCTACTTCCCTCTTCTTCCTCTCCTCTCCTTCACCACTCTCCTCCCCTTTCCTCTTCCTCCAACCTTCCTACTTCCTTCTCCCCTGTGACCTGTAGATTTTGATGCATTTTATTCTCAGTCTGGACTGATATTTAGAAATGTATGTTCCACTTTATTGAGTGAAGAGACCCAATGTGGTCTAGTGGTTAAGGCACCAGGCTAGAAACCCGGAAGCCATGAGTTCTAGTCCTGCCTGCCTTGGGCATAGAAGCCAACTGGATGACATTGGGCCAATCATCAGGAAAATCTGATCCCGCCTTGGGCATGAAAGCCAAGTGGGTGACTTTGGGCCAGTCACCCTCTCTCAGCCCAACTCATCTCACAAGGTCCCACAAAGGAGGATATTGGACATGTTCCCCACCTTGAGCTGTTTATAAAATTAATAAAGCAGGGACATAAATAAATTAAATAGTCTTTGCCAAATCTTAATTCTATAACTCCCATCCGTCCATAACTAGGCACCAACTGGGCTGAAACCTTTTAGAAATTCTTTTGTTTAATAAGGAAGAGAAACCTTAACATTGGTGTTCTCCGAGTTTGATTGTATTCTTGTAGACGTTTCATTACCAAACTAGGTTAACATCGTCATCGTTAGCCTAGTACTGACTTAACATTGCACATTAGAATTTTAACCAGAGCCAAACTAGATGGCACAGACCAGTGTGTCTGGTTACCCAGAGCTGCCATATTTGTCATTCATATCTGGGGAATTCTGATCCCTACACTGGAAATGTAGCAGGAAGCTTCACAGCACCTTGCCTTCATTTGTTATGTGTGTTATGCTTCTCTGCAGCCCAACTCGTGAAGCAGGCTGGGAAAAGAATATCTGGGCAGATAAGAGCAAAGATTTAAGGATGGAGAGACCAAGTTCCCTCTTGCTCAAATAACCACGATGATGTCAAGATCAGATACCTTTTGAGATCAGACTTAACTTATGAACAAGAAACAGGAATACTCACGATTTATCTCCCTTGGTCTCTATTCAGCAAGGATTCTGACATGAATTGATGAATATTTCTGAGCTTTTCAAAATGCACCCAAGAGAACTTCGTAAAGAGTGCTGTTCTAGACGTCCATGGCTAACTCCAGAATATGCTTTTCTGCTAATAATTCATTTTGGATTTAATTTTTATACATGAAAGGCAGAGTCAATCTTATTGGGGAAATACTCAGTGGGGATAAGTATATTCAGTGTTTCCAAATCTTGGCAACTTTAAAGAGTTGGCGGTGGAATTCTGGGAGTTAAAGGCCAGACCTCTTAAAGTTACCAAGGTGTTTGTCTATATTCTTACATCCTTCTACAATTTTTCTCTGTCTCTTCAGGGTCCACCTGGAAGCCCTGGTCAACCTGGTCCATCAGGGCTTGCTGGAGTAGTGAGTATCCTCCTTTCCCTTTCGGCATTCTTAGGCTCTGGTCCTCTTGAGTCTGATCCAACTTGGATCTTCTTCACTTCTAAATGAAGCCACAGTGTAGGAACCATTCGTTCTTGAAGCTTGGAAATCTCTCTCCGCTGGATTTTCCCATTACTTTGTAAAAACGGTGAATCCCTCCCTCCAAAATCATGTCCAACCAAAGAAGAAAATGGTCTGATTGTCTCCAGGAACCATCCATCGAATTGTGAATGGTTAAAATGCCATTTTGGAAGGTGACATTGTGTAGATGGGTACTAGACTGCAGAGTGTGCAAGTGCGCCCAAGAACGTCTCATCCTTTCCAAACCAGGCTGTGTCCAGGATCTTGGACTGTAATGGCCACCTTCTTAGCCACCTCAATCCTAGGAGCCAAAGGAAGACTGCCATGTGCGAAAAAACTACCATCTAGCAAAGTAGAAATCCTCTCTGCTACTCAGTCAACATTTTTTTTTAGAACTTGACTAAATATTTGGCCGTGATTTTTTCTGAATGTGGGGTGGGATTGGCTCAAGAGATGCAGAAGAGAAGATCTTGGTCTCCGTCTCCATTATCATTCACCTCTGCTTTCTTCCCAGTGAAGAAGCAGATGTGTGGAGAGAAACATGCCAGAAAGTTGCCCACTGTTAGTCTATGTCTACAAAAATAGCTACAACTGGAAAGGGGTCCTTGGGGTTCTCCCACCACAATGAATCCCAGAGCACATGCATTGGGAAGAACATGGTGGGGCTGGTCATCTGGAGGAGTTGCCACAAAGCTTTGCATTTCCTTGATTGTCTCCAACAGCTTCTGATGCCATCTCTCCTCTTCCCAGGGTCTGAAGGGTGAACGGGGGTCCCCTGGAGAAAGAGGTCTCGGTGGGCTCCCAGGCCAGCCAGGAACACCTGGTCATCCAGGTCCACCGGTGAGTATCACATGATGGAATCAGCATGCTTCAGAATCAATCATGAAGAGCTTGGGGGAAGACCCCCTTGTTGACAATGGGTGGATGGTCTGCAATGGTCCCTAGTCTTAATTCTTTGTTCATTGTTCACATAAAGAATTAATAACAACACCAGGATTTGAATTTGGACCCTTTAGTAGAGAAATGAAACTAAATCCTCTTTTTCCCTTATTTTCCTTTTGGTTCCTAGGGTGAGCCAGGCTTGGATGGACTGCCAGGAAAAGAGGTATGGTGGTTCTCACCTGTATCGCCTTCTTTACCCCCGTCTCAGAACCAAAAATAGGAGTAACCCACTGTAACAATGGAGGAAGCCACCTGCGTCATCTTTCTTATGCCCAAAACAATCTTCACATTGTTTATTCGAACACCAGGGCGATATGGACCAGGGACAGAAAGAGAAATGGACTTGATGGGACGGCTTGCACAGTTTTTTTTTTTCCTTCAAATTCCAAAACTTTAAGGCCATTTCAGTTAATAATCGGGATTCACCTTGTGGCGGCAACGTTTGTGAAATAAATTGTGCATTCTGCCACAGGCAAGCTGTTTCTTGGACGGCAGCCCCTGGCCCACCTTGCATGCATCTCCAACTGTTGCATTCCCTCTCTTTGCACACTGCTGTCTCTGCTTCCTGGGAGCTGACTTCCAAATGCTTCCTTTCTAATGCAGGAAGTCCTCAAGTTATAACCATAACGGAGCCTGGAATTATAGTTGTTAAGTTATTGTGACTGTTAAGTCGAGGCACCCAAGCAATCAGAGGTGGTGTTTTGTTTTTTTTAGCCTTTTTAGCTGTGGTCATTATTTATTTATTTATTTATTTATGAGACTTATATACCGCTTTAAGTGCAAGCACTCTCTAAGCGGTGTACACCAGTAAGCAATGTATATATATATATATATATATATTTACATTGCCCCCAACAATCTGGGTCCTCATTTCACCTACCCCGGAAGGATGGAAGGCTGAGTCAACCTTGAGCCGGTGAGATTTGAACCGCTGACCTGCTGAACACAGTCAGCTAAAGTGGTCTGCAGTACTGCACTCTAACTGCTGCGCCACCTGGCTCTTAAATAATTAAATTAAATAAAAACGTTCGTTTGAATAGGTGGTTTTAGCCAGGGACCGGCAAAAAACATCGTGAATGGTGCTCACGTGACTGTGAACACCACCACAGGTCTAAAACTGACCTACCTGACACGTGGTCATATGGCCACAGAGCATGGATGGGCACAAGCATTTATGATGGCCAGGGGTGCTTTAGAGACCGTAAAGCAGCTATTCCCTGGCCGTCGTTACTTCAAACAGTCATAAAACAGCCGGTAAATAAGTGAGGAGTACTTCTATTAAACAATAATGGAGAGGAGTAATGGATAAAGAGCACCTCCCATCCAGGGTAGGTGAACGGCCAAGTTAAATGGTAGGACAAGGGCCATTTGACGGGACAAAGTAACCTTAAGCTAATACTCTCTTCCACTCAAATGCATTACGGGTATTTATTTATTTATTTATTTATTTATGAGACTTATATACCGCTTTATGTGCAAGCACTCTCTAAGCGGTGCACACCAGTAAGCAATGCATATATATATATATTTACATTGCCCCCAACAATCTGGGTCCTCATTTTACCTACCCCGGAAGGATGGAAGGCTGAGTCAACCTTGAGCTGGTGAGATTTGAACCGCTGCCCTGCTGAACACAGCCAGCTAAAGTGGCCTGCAGTATTGCACTCTAACTGCTGCGCCACCTCGGCTCACTGTGCTGAAGACTTATTCTTATTTTTCCACAGGGATCTCCTGGAAAATCAGGTTCCCCTGGTCCTTCCGGACAGAAAGTAAGTGGGCCACCGCGGGGCGTGAACGTCAGCCTCTTCTCCTAAGACAATCTTTCATGGCACTGTCCTCTTCCTTCTTCCAGGGGGACCACGGCACTCCCGGGGAGACGGGTCAACCTGGAGAGAAAGGCAGAGCGGGGATGCCAGGAGGCCCAGGGAAAAGTGGTGAAATGGGACCCATGGGACCGCGTGGGTCCCCTGGGGAGAGAGGACATCCTGGCTCACCTGGTCCGACAGGAAACCCTGGGAATCCAGGCCTGCCGGGGACGTCGGTAAGAGCTTGAGCAAAGACACTGAAAGGCGTGCAATGTAATGGGGAGCTGAACGGCTCAGTCCTCTGACATCCCAACATTCTGGGTCAGTCTAAAAGTAGATGCAGTTAGAAGGGACGTCTGTCTTCTGAGATGGGCTCTAGGGTGGGCCACCAGCGGTTGACATCCACTCGAACGAGATTTTCATACCACTTCACGGATGCGCAAGGTGCCAAAACATGCTTGGCTCTGCCGTCATGGGCCCCAACCTTGCCTCCCAGCTTCTCCTACAAGAACTGCTGGGGGAACCCAGTGCAGTCCAGAGCTTCTTTCATCCTGAACTGCAAATACAACCTACCCAGAACACAAAGTTGCCGAATCCTGCAAGGCGGAGGGGCTGCGTGTCCAGGATCCGTGTCTGAGGAGCTCCAGAGGATCCCACAAAGCATGGCTTCTCAGGGATGGGAGGAAGTTAAAATAAGCAGCATGCTGGGAGATTGGTTATTGTGACCCTCAGCAGCCCACTACTTCAGCTAGGGCAAGGGTAGGCAACCTTGGCTCTTTCATGACTCGTGGACTTCAACTCCCAGAATTCCTGAGCCAGCATGGCTCAGCTTGGAAACCTCTCCCTTTCCCTTCAGCATGGCTGGCTCAGGAATTCTGGGAGTTGAAGTCCACGAGTCATAAAAGAGCCAAGGTTGCCTACCCTGAGCTAGGGAAGGAAGAAGTGTGGAACGAAGAAGATGCTGATGGCGGGGCTGGAAGGTTTGGTCCTGAGAGATTTTCTGGAGCTTGGGGGAACGGCTGCATGTGGGGCACGAGGTGAAGCTGAGCATGTAAAAGCGGTTGAACGGGACAGCTTAACATGCAAGATAAGGCAGCGATTGACTTCTGCTTTCCCTCTTCTTTGTTTTTCTCACCAGGGAGATGCCATCAGCTATGACCAGATCCGGATGTTCATCAGAGAAGAGTTCCAAAAAATGTTTGATGGTGGGTGATGAGAGCAGATTGAGGGCAGGGGGAAGCACAAAGTGGGTTTCAGGGCAGATGGGACACTCAAGAAAACCAAGTAGAGGTAGTCAGAAACAATGCTAGAACTGGATATTTCCTACTCAAAACTCTACCAAAGAGAAGGTCATTTCAATTCTGATCTGTTTGTTTCATTCATTCATTCATTCATTCATTCATTCATTCATTCATTCATTCATTCCATTTCTATAGCTGTCCATCTCATTCCATGACGCTGGGTGGCTTCCAATTCCAAAACTGTTAAAACAATTAAAACAAAAAAGGCATTTTTAATATGATTGTAAGCAGCCCATAGTTACCTTGAGTTAAATTTTATAAACAAACAAACAAACAAAACATCCAAAATAAATATATACTGTGGCCAAGATACTTAGTTAACAATAAAGCCAGACAAGACTTTTAACATACTCGGCATCCCAAACGCAGGAACGTAGCCAGGTTTTAAAGCATATATAATGGTTGGCACCATTCTAAACTCTGAAGGGAAGATATTCCACAGGGCAGGGGCCACTGCAGAAAAGGCCCGTCTTTATCCCCGCCTGACTCTCTTTGGCTGATGGGATCTGCAGCTTGCCCAATCTGCTAGATCGAATTGGGCAGGTAGAGACTCTTGGAAAAAGGCCCTCAGGTAACCCTGTCCCAAGACATGTAGAGCTTTAAAGGTGACAACCAGCATCTTGAGTTGTCCCAGGAATATGCCGGTAACCAATGCCACTCACATAGCGGTGATGTCACATATGCCATATATCTGACACCATTTACTATCCGCACAACTGCATTCTCATTAGTTGTTCAGACTGGATTTTGCATTTTTCCCGACCTATCAAGTCTTTCCCAGGGTCCTAGAAGAGGCGGATGTTGTGTTTAATAACATTAAAGATATTGTTGCAGAACGTAAGATGATGATGATGATGATTGATTGACTGATTTATGTTTGTTTATTTCTTTGTTTATTGGAACCAGAAAACCCCCAAAAGTTGCAATGGTATCTGTTAAGAATAGTTTGGCTTGAACGTCTCTCAGAAAAACCACCCAGAGTGGCTTCTCAGAGTGAGATGGGCAGCATGCAAATTTAAATGAAAAGTAAAATAAAACAAAATGCCACTTTTTAAGTTATCAGAATAACCGGAACAACTTCTCAATGAGTTTCTCAAGGGAATATATCTGCTTCCCAAGACTCCTTTGGGGCTTATCTTCACCCTGTCTCTGTTCAACTGCTACAGAGAAAGTCCCCATCTCAAAAAAGCAAGCTTCCCTATTTCCTCACCCTACCAATTCCTGTCCATCCCCCCTTGAGCAGGACGGCAAATAGCTGGTTCCTTTCTCTTCCCTGCAGAGCGGATTCGGTACTATACTTCCCAACTGCCCTTACCAGTAGAAGTCCTTTCCCAGCCAGGGAGACCAGGACCACCTGGCAAAGACGGAACGCCGGGACGGTCAGGTCCCCCTGGTTCTCCGGGATTGCCTGGACAAATTGGAAGGGAAGGCCGGCAAGGTCTGCCCGGCATGAGAGGTAAGTCTTGGTACTCCTCTTTCTGATAGAAGTAGACTTGGAGATGTGTATCACAGACCAGCCTTTCTCCACCTTGGTGACTTTAAGACGGGTGGGCTTCAACTCCAGAAATCCTCAGCCAGCTTTAAAGTTTCCAATCTTGGAGAAATTTATTTATTTATTTATTTATTTATGAGACTTATATACCGCTTTAAGTGCAAGCACTCTCTAAGCGGTGTACACCAGTAAGCAATGTGTATATATATATATATATTTACATTGCCCCCAACAATCTGGGTCCTCATTTTACCTACCCCGGAAGGATGGAAGGCTGAGTCAACCTTGAGCCGGTGAGATTTGAACCGCTGACCTGCTGAACACAGTCAGCTAAAGTGGCCTGCAGTACTGCACTCTAACTGCTGCGCCACCTCGGCTCATTGAACCTTGGTTGAGTTTTTTGATGGCTCTGCAAATCCAGCCAGTATGGCTAGTTAGTGATACAAAGTTTTGGGGTTTTTTTTAATATATTTTATTGGTTTTATAGTTTTAACAAAAAGTATTTAAGACACACGGTGGTGTTTGGGTAAACAAAGATTCCAACATAAAATCACACAAAAACAGCTCAACTTAATACATCTGCTATCATCTCTCTACTTCCCTCAAATAACACAATAAATTTAATATATTTCATTTCTATCGTAAATTTCTATTACTACTAAACCTGTTTTTAAAACTTTTTATCAATTTCGATTACCATAATCAGATAATGTTTTACATCAGCATATTAATGATGTAAAGTTTGATGTTAATTTAGGCAACGGGCAAAATCAGAAGCCAGGATCGGCAGGTGACAACTCAGCCAGTAGATTTATGTCATCTAGAGCAGGGGTCCCCGTGGACCAGTACCGGGCCGCGGCACGCCAGCAACCGGTCCACACAAACAAGGAAAGCCCCATCTGTGGGATGCAGGCAGCACACAAAACCACGCCCCCTCCGGTCCACAGAAAAACCTCTCTCCACGGAGCCAGTCCCTGGTGCCCAAAAGGTTGGGGACCTCTTATCTAGATGACGCATCAGCAGGGCTCCCCAAATTTGGGGTATGCCCGGGTTTTATTACTTTGTCCCATCAGGTTCCTGAGATGAGTACTTGATCCCAGTTGGGCAAGAATGTGGTCACAGCTCTAAAGAAGTACAAAAAAGACTCTTCACAAACCCATTTCAGAAGGAGCCTGATGTCATTAAGTGGCTGGAGCCTTTGGTCAATTCACTTTCATGTTTTCTCCCTCGCTGCAGGTGAGCCCGGAATCAAAGGAGAGAAAGGAGACAAAGGGACTGGAATCATGGGGGAGAGTGGACCCCCAGGCTCTCCAGGTACATTTGCTTTCCCTCTAAAGCAGTGGTTCTCCACCTGTGGGTCGGGACCCCATTTGGGGTCAAACGACCATTTCACGGGGGTTGCCAAACAATGCAGTCCGCCATTTTTTCCCCCTTTTCCTTAGCTGTGCTACTCCCTTTTATTCTATTGGCTTTCGAAAGCCAATAGAATAGACTCTCTTGAATAGAGTCTAATTCTACTGGCTTTCAAAAGCCAGTAGGAATTGTCCAAGCTGTCTCTGCCCTGCTGAGCCCGCCAAAAGTCCCATTCTGCAAACGGTGCTGCACCAGTTGAGTAGTCCTCGACTTACGACCGGTTGACGGTCGCGGCATTAAAAAGGTTGAGAACCACTGCTCTAAAGTTAAATCTGCTGGCTTAAGTCTGCTTGCTTTCATCAGTCATTTGCTTTGATCAATCACCAAGAGCCCCAGCATGCATAGAGCTCCATCTTTGTAGAGCAGAAGGCGGAAATATTGTTCTGCTTAGCCAAAATAGAGGTGGTTCTTAAGTCTTTCTTGTAAGAACAAAGAGCTTGTTCTTAAGTAGTTTGTCCTTTTGAGTTCCCAAGAGTTGCTTTGCAGAGTGAGATGGGCGGCATTTAATAAATAAATAGGCAATGGAACAGGGGATTTCCTCAAGTGTTGCTGGTAGGACTACAAATGTTCAGGGAGTGCTGGAGGCAGTGCTGCTGAGGACCGAGACCTTCAAAGCAAGACCAGCCTATTTGGCTCAGCGGTGAGGCTTCTACCAGGTTGAAACCTACATCCCCCTGGAAGGTTCCTCACAGAGAAACAAGGCCTTCCCAGCACACCTTTCCTCAAACCTGGAGACTTTCCAGGTGTGTGGGCTTCACTTCCAGAATCCTTCAGAGTGGAGAATATTGGCAGCTGAAGCCTATCAGTCTGAAGAGCATCCTCATGGAGAAGGCTTCTCCGATGCCTCCAACCATTTCAGGAAAGGAAAAACAGACTACGGAATATAGGAGTCTCCACAGGGCTTGACTCTCACACTACTTCCCTCCCTTTCTTGTTTTCCGTTCTTCTCTACAGGCATGCAGGGGCCTCCAGGCTATGGGAAAATCGGCCTTCCAGGGCCCATGGGGCAGCAAGGTATTCCGGGCGTCCCGGGACCACCAGGAATCACGGGCCCTCCTGGAAAAGCCGGTCACTGCAACCCTTCAGACTGTTTTGGCATGATGCCCAGGGAGCAGCCTATGTACCAGCCCAAAAACATGAAGGGGCCTATGGGCTAAAGAATGTTCTCCTTTCCCACCCCACAAAGGACTCCATTTGGAATAGCCAAAGATCAAGTCTTCCATCATGACTGGCTGTGATGATGATGATGATGCTTTTATTGTTGTTAATATTTTGACTATATTTTTCTCCAGTGGAGTTCAACTTCTTATCATGATGGCATTGATGTTGTTGTTTTTTTTTTTTAAAAAAAGAACTACCAGGATATCTGTGTGTCTGCGTGTGGGAGAAAGAGAAGATTTCTGTGTGTGAATGTTTTCATATTCTGACTGATTTTTACCCCCAGTCAGCAAAATGTATTCAAGACAAAAACTTCAGTTTTCCCTGGTGGAGAGGAAGATTCTGTTCATTACTTTCCCTGCCTCGTTAGGAATTATTATTTCCACAATGCAGATAGAGTCTGTTGAAAATTTTAAGAAAATATGCAAAGGGGGGGATGAGAAAGGGGGAATGCTGTGGTTTAATTTCAGTTTTTTTATTGGGTTTTCCCTCTTAGCATGAGTTATAATGGATCCGGGAGGCGAGAGATAAACAGTTCTAAATTGGTAGAACAAAATTGCCTCAGTTTGGAATCTCACCGGCCAGGCCATTGCAAATCAGGAAATTGTCACCTATCACATCTCAAGAGTGCGCGATGAGAAAGGCTGCCCTACCTAGTATTTACACACCTCTCTTGGAGCAAATTGCACAAGTAAATCCAGCGGAATTTACTTCTAGTAGATATACGTGAAATTGTACTGGAAAAAAAAAAGTCACTTCATAGCTCGTAGACTTTCTCCCCTTAAGTGAAATGAAAAAAAAAATGGGAACAAAAATTAAAAGTATTAAAAGTTGCGTTGGGTCTTTGGAGGTGAAAAAAAAAATCTAAGGAATTCCCGAAACTGAAAACAAAACAAGTTGTGTGATATTTAGGATGTATGAATGGGAGTATTATCTTACGGTGTAATTACTTTTCCAGACGTCCAACATTCTGTGTTCTTCCTGTTGTATGAAATGTGTGGGACCATGTACCTTCTGGAATTAATTAATTTTTCTTGAATGTTCCTGGTTTTGTTTTCTTCATTTTTTTTATCAAATATATTGAACTTCATCCAAAGCAGACCTAATTCTAGTTGCTCATACATCTGGGCATCAGAACTGGGAGATTTTGAAGGATTGGGAGAAGATATGACCGGGGTGGGAGGGATCACTGTCTATGGCTAAGATGCCCCTTCACCTCCTAGAGCAGGTATAGGCAATCTTGGCTCTTTTATGACTCATGGACTTCAACTCCCAGAATTCCTGAGCCAGCCATGCTGAGGGGAAAGGGAGAGGTTTCCATGCTGAGCCATGCTGGCTCAAGAATTCTGGGAGTTGAAGTCCACCAGTCATAGAAGAGCCAAGGTTGCCTACCCCTGCCATAGACAGAAACCTTTTGACTGTATCTTTGCATGAGCTCTGATAGAACCCCAAACCTTGCTAGTCAAACACGCTGTGAGATTCCTCCCCTCAGCTCTGCATGGTGTCCATAGCAAGTTCATCCCACACTCCACCAAATACCATGATCCCAAGTGCTACTAAGTGGTATGTTGGGTCCTACACAACATCACCAGTATCTCCTCTTTGTGAATGTCCATCTCTCTTCTCTGCCTCATTCTTGGAAAGAAGCAAGCTGCTGCTCACCATTTTTCAAGGGCAGAAGATACATTCCCGAGGAATCTGGTGAACAGCTTTTTCTCCCGTGACAAGGCTCCTGGACAAAAGACTAAGTGGCCCCTCTCCGATCTCAGTTTAGGGAAAAGAAAGAGCAAGAGTAAGATAGCCCTGCTTCTATGTCAGATAAACACCCACAGAACAACATCCAGCAGAGATTGTCAAGCAAGAATATACTTCTAGTTCCTTCAGAGGGGTGTCAAGAGGCTGATCCATCAAGCCAGAAGCTCTCTTAAAAATGTGGCTTGCTGCAAACTGATCAAAGTAAAACACACACACACACACACACACACACACACACACACACACACACATAAATTCTTGATGGTCATATTTTCAGAGCTGTCTCTGGACTGCAAGAAACATATGATTTGAAAAGAACCAGAGACAGATTTTTTAAAAAATGTGAATTGGCAATTTGGGAGGCAATGATTTTATAGAAGTCACAGGCATTCTTTATCTGTCTGCTCAGGTTTTATGACTTTTCTTCTCTCCTATTTTTCTCTCTCTCTTAATGGGGAGTATCCATTTAGTTGGAAAGGTCCAGAACAAAACTGCAATCATCCAGCGGTGTGGATATTCCGTAGCACTTCATTTCCATAAACTCAGAGGGAAAATTGCCTCAATGGTGATAATGTTGCTAGTTTCTCCATACTCCTATGACACCATCACAGCTTTGCAAATGTTTATTAACTCGCATTAGAAACCTGCTATTTTCCCACTTCACCTTTTTCTCTGGGCATTCCCTTTGCCTTTGTAAATAAAGAGAGTATTTGTCCATGTGTGGGCAGAGGTGACAAATAAATCTGCCTCTATCTGCTCTTAAAATATTGCTCCTATAAATGTACCTGTGCAGACTGTGAGGAGAGGAACGAGCTACAGGAAGCAATTACTAACTTCTAGCAGATAACATCCAAATTATTATTCTTGGTAATGTTCTGGGACTATTTCCTCACAAGGTCCCTTGCTTGAGCTCTATGACTCCAGGCAAAGATTTCGCTGCAAATGACAGCTTATTTCAGTGTTGTACAACTCAAGAACAACCAACACTCTGATAGGACATCTCAGCACAAAATACTTAATATACGCAAGTACCTTGGTTTGTATTTAAAGGCTACCTTCAGGCGTATGAAATACCTGCACTTTGATGTAGTGATTAAAACCACCAGGCTAAGAATGTGAGATTTTGAGTTCCAATCCTGACTTGGCATGAAAGCTGGCTGGGTAACTTGGTTCAATTCCTCTTTTAGGTCCAGAAAGAAGAAAAAAGAGCAACGCTTCTGAAAATGTGTTGGCAATAAAACTAAGCCCTTCCTTTCTTTTCTCCATCCATCCATCCATCCATCCATCTATTCCCTTTTTGTTTTCCTACCTTCCCTTCCTTCTTTCCTGTTCATTTGCATTTTCATTTTGCCTTCTTCATTCTTTTTTCACTTTTCTTTCCTTCCTGCTTGCTTGCCTTCCTTCTTCCTTCCTTCCTTCCTTCCCTTATCTTTTGATTCTCTATTTCACACTTTCTCCCTTCCCTTCTGATTCTCTATTTCACATCTTCCTTCCTTCCTTCCTTCCTTCCTTCCTTCCTTCCTTCCTTCCTTCCTTCCTTCCTTCCTTCCTTCCTTCCTTCCTTCATCTTTTGATTCTCTATTTCACATTTTCTCCCTTCCCTTCTGATTCTCTATTTCACATCTTCCTTCCTTCCTTCCTTTCCTTTCCTTTCCTTTCCTTTCCTTTCCTTTCCTTCCTCAGGGAAAACAATAACAGCAAAAGAATTTTCCAGCCTTTTCAGTAGTAAAATGAACTCTCAAACAAAACCAAGGAATATTTGAAATGTTGATGCGCCTCTTGCAAAAGAAGTAAACATTTGAGAAATTGCAGCTACCTTTTGGCACAGCTATCTGGACAAAGAGAAAGTGGGGCTTTCAACAGTAACATAAGCAAATGAAATATCGGCAAATTATACTTCTGGGCATCAAGGAAGAATAGGGAAAATATTGCAGGATGATAATGGTCTGTTTTGGCACACAACCTGTAACTATGGGAGCATCACAGAACCTCAACCGATGGCGTCATTTTGTTGTGTCTCGGTAAACGATGTCTTGAAAAGAGTTTGCTCATCTCTCAGGATCCGGCACCTTTTTGTCAGTAAAATTGTTTCTTCAAGTCAAATTGTTATCTACGGGTTTCATCAGCCTTCTGGACTGGCTTGCTTATAGCTCCTGCTTGTTGAACGAAATAACACCCTGTGCTACCCCTGTTATTTGCTCCCATTCCACCAGATAGTAATTCAGACATAAAAAATAATGCCTGTGTAGCAGACGCCTTTAAATGCGATCCCACAAAGTTATTGCGATCACAGGTTAATTTTTTCTTCTTCTTCCTAGTATTTCGCTACAGGGTCTGCTATTCAGATCGGCCAAAGGGAATGACAGATCATCCTTACCAAAACTCAAGCCCCCCGGAGGCCTTTTTCCAATTCTGTTCGGTTGAGCCCACCCTTGCTCTCCTCAAAGTTGCCCTTTCAAACTTTTGCAAACGTTGGTTTTTTTGTGTGTTTTTTTATAGCCGTAACTGAATTGCTCTAAATTAAACTTAAGATGGAACTTGGCCCCTTTGCCTCCAGGATCACAACAGGAGGCAGCACCTTGGTGACCTTGGCTGATTTTGAAAAGAAGGGTTGAATTTAATTAGGAATGGAAACTGCTCAAAAAAAAAAAAAAAATCCCAAGCTTACAGGCTAGATTAAAAGAAGGCAAAAGTCAGCCACTTCCTTATTGTTTCCAAAGATCTCTCCAAATTCTGCACTGATTCCAAAAGGGGAGGGTACAAGTAGTCCTCACTTTATGACTACAATTCAGCCCACAGTTTCCATTGCTGAGCAAGACCATTTTTAAGGGAATTTTGACCCATTTTATGACCTTTCTTTCCACAGTTACGTCAATCACTGCCGTTGATAAGTTAGTAACATGGTGATTAAACGAATCTGTTTTCCCCATTGACATTGTTTGTTAAAAGGTCGCAAAAGGGCACCACACGTGATCCCCCGGGACACGGCAACCCTCATAAATACATGCCAGTTGCCACGGGCCTGTAATTTTGATCATGGGACCATAGAGATGCTGCAGTGATTGTGTGAAAAAACGTCTTACTCTTTTCAGTGCCGTTGTAACTTTGAACAGTCACGAAACAAATTGTTGCCAGGTCAAGGATTGCCAACACTTAATGATGGCAATTGGCATTTCCGTTGCCAAGCAGTGCAGTCGTAAAGGGTCCGCTCACGTGACTGCATCATTTAGCAATGGCAATGCTGGCTGTCCCTGTTGCCATTGTTAAGCACGGATCACACAGCCGGGCTCCTCGGGAGAAAAACCTAAGGGAGTATGAGCAAATTATCCGGCAACATGCAACCTTTTCTGCCAGCTTCCGGGAACAAAAGTGGCGAATGGCAATCACACAACTGCAGGCTGCTGCAACTACAGTGTGAGCCAATAGCCAAGCACCTGGTTCACGATCACAAAGAATCGTCATAGGGCTGGGAGGGACCGTGGAGGTCTTCTAGTCCAACCCCCTGCTCAAGCAAGAGACCCACTACCGGGGTCGGGCAACTATGGCCTCTTTATGACTTATGGACTTCAACTCCCAGAATTCCTGAGCCACCTGACTCAGGAATTCTGGGAGTTGAAGTCCACGGGTCATAAAGGAACCATAGTTATTTACCCCGGCCTTATACCATTCTGGACAAATGGTTGTCCAATCTGTTCTTGAACACCTCCACAGATGGAGCCCCCGCAACTTCTAGAGGTAAGCCATTCCACTGATTAGTTGTTCTCACTATCATGAAATTTCTCCTTAATTTTAGGTTGGGTCTCTCTTTGATAACCATCCATCCATTACTTCTTCAGGTGCTCTGAAGAATTAATCCCTCCTCTTCCCCGTGACAGCCCTTCAAGCATTGGAAGATGGCTATTGGACTCCTCTAAGCCAGGGGTCCTCAAAGCTGGCTGAGGAATTCTGGGAGTTGAAGTCCACAAGTCTTCAAGTTGCCAAGGTTGAGAACCCCTGCTCTAAGCCTTCTCTTCGTTAAGCTGAGCATAACTATTTCCCTTAGCAGTTCATCATATGATTTAACCTCCAGATCTTTGTTGCTCTTCTCTGCCCTCTTAATCTAGGGCAGGGGTAGGCAACCTTGGCTCTTTTATGACTCCTGGACTTCAACTCCCAGAATTCCTAAGCCAGCATGGGTCAGCTTGGAAACCTCTCCCTTTCCCCTCAGCATGGCTAGCTCAGGAATTCTGGGAGTTGAAGTCCACCAGTCATAAAAGAGCCAAGGTTGCCTACCCCTGATCTAGGGCCTCATCACCTCAGCCCACGACTATGGAGGTGCTGGGATGACCAGAACTTTGAAGACCAGT